TTCCAAGACCTCCATACAGAGCACGTTACCATAGTCTCTCAAGACTGAAGGATGCCTACTACTATGCAGGCCGGTCATAGTGAAGAAAGAGCATTTACAACATACAGTTTTAGTGTGTCAACATGGCATAACTCCAGCTCTCTAGTCTATGCCACCAACAAAACAGAAGGCAGGTGTGAAATACACAGACTCACAAATAGGAGCTAGGACTCTTCCCCCATTCTTAAATAATAGTGCATTTGTAATTTCTCTTCCCATTTCCAGGATGACAGATTGCAAGCTAACTTGGAAAGTTGCATAACAATTTTTGAGATAACACTAATAGGATCTGCAAAAATATGTGCTCTAAGCTATGTAAGGTTTTCTTTGTTGTGTTTTTGATTTGGCTTTGCATGAATAAGTTTTATAAAAAGTAAATAAAGCAAATGATTCATTCCTTTTTAAGGCATGAAGAATGGCAGTGACATATCTATATAAAGGTAAAGGTTTCCCTATATGTTTAGTCCAGTCGTGTCCGCCTCTAGGGCACGCTACTCATCCCCGTTTCCAAGCTGTAGAGCCAGCATTTGTCCGTAGACAGTTTCTGTGGTCACGTGACTAGACACGGCAGCGTGACTAGACATGGAACGCCGTTATCTTCCCACCGAAGTGGTCCCTATTTATCTACTTGCATTTGCATGCTTTCGAACTTCTAGGTTGGCAGGAGCTGGGACAAGCCATGGGAGCTCACTCCATCGCGTGGATTCGAACTTACGACTGCTGGTCTTCTGATCTTGCAGCACACAGGCTTCTGCAGTTTAACCCACAGCACCACCACGTCCCTCTCAGCCTATATGAGTGACATATCTAACTATTCTTTAATATGTAGCTGCCCAGAATAAGATGTGTATAGGAGAGATTCAAAGGCCAACATTTGTTATGGAAACTGCCTGCGCTGAAACTGTTGGAAACAACTTCAAGATAATACACAGCATCAGTACAGCTGCTTAGAAATACAGAAAAGTCAAGATTAAATATGTTATTCACACAGATATAACTCTTTTAATGTAATTCAGGCTGCATAAATTCTTATACAGTATTTATTGTAAAACCAAACGTAAAACAGAGAAACAAGACACATGGATAAAATCAGAATATGATTTATTTCCTGATAATTTTACATTCAACACAGCTTCTGTGTGCTAAGAAATTGTCCAAATAATTTGTGCTTCTTAGTTGAGCATGGACACATTTTATATTGTGGTTTTTGAAGAAGCAGTCATATTAGTCTCTCCAAGCATAGACAAAAGTAACACAAAACAAAAATTAAGAGACAAAAACGTGGCAGCTGAGATATATGGGATATAAAGATGCTTCAAAGGATGAAATATGAATCAAGGGTTCTTAAGTAATTACCAAGTGTGAATTCCTACATTGATTCACACAATTTGTCACTTGTGTCAACTATGTTATTGTTACCTGGCAGCCTGGTAACTGATATTATTCACTGCCTGATAGTCTATTCCCATACTAACAAACTATTGTGATTTTGTCCATTATCTCTATCGCCCCTTGGTCAAAGGGCCATGTATAAATATGACAGTCATATAGTCTCACTCTTTTGTCTCAGGAAGTGGACTTGAGCCATGAAAGGCTCATATTAAAATATAGCAGTGTTTAAAGTGCCACAATGTTTTTTCTCTTGTTTTTCTTTTCTTTTGGTTTGGTTTTGTCACCTGATATATTTCATATTGTGGTTTCTTTTTCTCCTAGATGTTTATTGTGAGAAAAAATATCTGAAGTTTGAACTACATGAGTCAGACTCTGACCTCTGGCAATAGCATGCATACACAAGAATTGGATATGGTACATCCATCTTACCAGAGAGAAAACCACATCAGTGCTGGTTACTGGCAAATTTCCTCAAGACCCATTACTAGTCATTTTGGCACCCAGAGCAAGCAGCATTATCTCCTGCTCACTCTGCCTCTGAGGGATGGGTGCAAGCCTTCCATGAAAAAGCTTTCCAAAACAGAGAAAGTTCATCTTTTTTTTTTAAAGGTGGGAGGTGTTGCCTACTTTCCTCACCAGTAGATTTTGGTGTCCTCTAAATTTGGTGCCCTGGGGCAAAGATCCACTTTGCCCACGCTAGGTATTGTTGTTGTCGTTTAGTCGTGTCTGACTCTTCGTGACCCCATGGACCAGAGCATGCCAGGCTCTCCTATCTTCCACTGTCAAATGTTCTGAATTTTCTCAAGGCAACACTGCGAGTTTAAGATGAAACCACCTTTGATTCCCACCCCCAAAAAGTACTGAAGTATTCTATAACAAAGATAATTTTTCTTGTGCTATGAGAAGAAGGGGATGATATTCAACTGCCTGGAATATACCATTCAACTTAATGGGACTTGACAAGACAGCATTCTATAGAATTGGCACCTCTTGGAAAAATATGCCAGAAGTAATTACATTTTTGCGCTTCTATGCATAGACGCTTCAGTGCCAGTCTTCAGTGTGCTTAGACATAGGACATGACAGAATTATTTATAATTATGTCTGCATGGCTATCAAGCTTAATTACCTTTATGCTGTTGGCCCTTGCCCAAATAATACAGGTAACCTGGACCTTTCTCCTCAGCCTGTATATACAGAGATTTTGAAGTGGATTCAGGCAGCAGTCCTCAAAGGACTTATCTGGGAATAAAAGCAAAAGATTTCAGTGGGACTTGCTTCTAAGTAGACACACATCAGATAGCTCTGTCAAACAAAGAGCTGAGGTAGAACTAAAATGCTCCTGGCTTATCAGGTTAATTTAAAACAATTTGATCCCATCCTTCTTCCTAGGCCTTGCACGTTGCTCTTTCTCCATTACAAATCTTTCCACCATTTTGTCTTCAGAACAACCTTGTGAAGAAAGTTAGGCTGAGAGAGTGACCAGCCAGCCAGTCACCCAGTGAGCTATACGGCTTAGTGGCTGCTGTGCTGTCAGAACCGAGCTTGGGGGTTGAAATCCAGGGCTAAGCAGGAGGTGACCTCAAACACAGCTAAGGCTGGCTTACCACATTTTGAAGGAAGTCAAAGTATTCCTTCAAACATCACTCTCTGAATGGCAGGCAATGGGGCTATGAGACCTTTAAGTCCAGAGTCTAAAAGTACCTTTCTGCACCGCAGTTGAGTGGGAACGTGAACCCAGATCTCCTCTGTGATATTCTGCCTATGTTAACTACTACATCACCATAGTGTTCGGATATGACAAAGACAAGTACTGAGGTCACAGCTTCCTACAATCCAATACTCTTTCTTTCACTGTCTATTTGATATGCACACCTGAGGGTGATAAACTAGGAATTTATTACTAGGTCATCTCACCACTTTGCCTTATGCCTCTTTTCATACTGAGCTGGGCAATGGGTGGTCCTCCATTTGTCAGAAGACTCCTTACCACTTTGCCTTATGCCTCTTCAGACTCAGATGGGGAATGGGTGGTCCTCCATTTGTCAGAAGACTCGCGTTCCCTTAAATCCTGCCAAACTGACCAAGGGAGAAGAATGCTGGGAGTTGTAGTTCACCAGCAGTCTGAACCCATGAGGTTTCCCATCCTTGGTCTACACAGAGATTATAATGGAGCATCAACAGAAAAAAAAAACACTTTATTTTAAAAGTCCAGTGTCACTTCACTGTCTCAGATGTTCATTTGACAGGCTCGTTCTGATAGTACCTACCAGGAGCTTCCTCACCAACAGGGAAACTTTACTTTTTTAGACTACCACTCTCAGAATCCTCCAACCACCCCATGTAAGATTTCTGGCAGTAGTAATCCAGGCTCTGATTTCCCTTTAGATTCATCCCACACTGCTCCAATAACATAGGAAGCAGCAATAGTGTGTGAGAATAGGTTCTAGCCATGTAGGCTAAGGGATTCTGTAATATATAGGCCAAAATAGCAATGTTTCCATGCTATGGGCCTATCTCACGATAATCCAAACCTCCCGTGTGCCTTTGCTTCTCTATATTTAACTGGACTAGTTTCAGCCTGTGCACGGGGAAGGAGCAAGCACTGCCCTGTGATCTAGGCTAATATTGCCACCCCAGCTATTGGTCAGAGACAGATGAGTTTGCTTGTTTTAGTCCTTAAGGCAGAATATGGTTCTGTATTCCATTTTGTGATGAAGGAATGGCCATTGTATTTTGAATGGGGAGTTGAGAAAACATCTGAGTATAAGCAAATGGAAAATATCCCGACTTAGTGGAGATCCTACGCTGAAGCATAGTTGATATAATGGCTAATCAAACCTCACATTCCTGTGTATAGCACTTTATGTCACCAAAGAAAGAAGCACATGGATTTTAAGCTGCAATCTTATATATATTAACCATGAAGTCTCATTAGAATAATGGGATTTATGTCTCAGTAAACATGCATAGGAATGCATTATATGAAATTTGTTTGCCAGCACATCATCACTGTAGCTGCTGTTACTTTTGTCATTTATTCACAGGTTTTCTTAGACATTGATGTTCTTCTCTTACAAAGGTTATTTTCTTCTGCTGCTTCCTTTACCTCCAGAGTCATGTACCAGACATTTCTGTGTAAAGCAGTAAAACCTCAGCAAATCCACCAAGCAAAAGGCTGTGAAGAAAGCACAGAAGTTGTTTTAAGAACAGTTTACTTCGACTGTCACTGTGAATCAGCACATCACAGCCAAAGAGCTGGCAGTTTTCATGCTGAAGTATTTCTTCAGCTCATTAAGTAACAGATGGATAAATTTGGGTAATTTGCAAAGATTCCTGCCTCCGGGCTGTACTAATGCTGGGGCTCAGGCCAGCTGGGACTTGGCATTTTCCCCACTCCCGAGAAGGGCGAGGATGTTCAGAGCATTCTGGCAGGATGCACCCTGAGGCCTTCTGGATGTCTGGAGCACTGCTATACGATCATTCTGGCACTGAGAGGGGAAAAGGAGTAACCCAGCAGCCAGAAATCCTGTGGTCTGCAGAAAGACTGAAGTCCTTCTTTCGAGACAGCAGGAGAGTCTTGCCAAGTCAGCAACCGCCAAACTGCAGGACTACATTTACTAAGTGACTACTGGTACTACAGATGTTCACACCCTGAATATTTTGGTTTTCTTTCTGATAATATTATCACAATTTCTCCAGAAGAAAAAGAGAGTCATAATGGTAACCTAAGGATGCCCTCAAAATGCTTTGAATTTTGGATTATGTTTATGCTACCTAAGGATGATGGGAGTCATGGAAAAATTATCCAGAGGGCTCCAGCTTGCCTGCCTATCCTCAAAATTAAATTAAATTAAATTAAATTAAAAATTTAAAAAAGCGTTATTTAGAAAAGAAAAAGTCAGCCCTTGTAGTAGTTAGGAGGCTGCGACTCCTAGAAATAGGAGTCTGGATTTTCCCAATGAAGGGACTCAAGATGGCTTACAAGTTTTTAAAAAACAAACCAAGACCACAATAAATTATAATACTAACAAATAATCAGACATGTAAACGTATTTTCTTGAAAATATTAAACTATTTTTAAAACCCTTAAAACAAATTAAGACCGAGAAATACAAATAGTGTCCAGGATGTATTAATCCTGGGTCCCTGTGTGTTAAAACTGGAGCTATGTGATGTCTCCAATTATACCTTAGTTGAAAGAGAGTTGAAGAAAAAAATACATATAGTACAAGTGTTTACTTTTTACAGAGCAAACTCGCCAAAAGCTTGGAAAGGAGCCTTGACAATGGGTTGGGTGGGTCACTTTGATTTCCTACTACCCATTTTATATATAATTGTGTCCTAATCCAGTGTGTCATATTGTGTCATTGATGCCTTCTGTTTACCAAAGGCACATCCTAAGGTCCTAATTTCTCTCATCATCACTCTCATCCTGACATTTCCTGCCTTTCTGCACTAATCTCAAAAGCCAACCAGCCTGAACAAAGGGTTCCCAAGTTATCCGAGTTCAGTGGCAATCTTTTGTTTCTAAAAATGTGACCCTACAATTCATACATCTTAAGCAAGGGCAAGCCACATCTTCTAGTCTTTTCTAACATCACACTTCAGAAGAATCTGTGAAAGGCAGGCTTGGTTCCAGTTCCCCCTGTGACAAATGTTGTGACCTTGCATTTTGGCCTCAAGGCTTAATTTATGAAACAGCAAAGCTCCTTACAGAACTTTATAAATAAAATGTACCGTCTACTGGTAAGAGCCCTTACCCCCACCCTGCTTTTGTTTAAGATGGCAAGCCTGCAAAGCTGTCTGGATTTTAATAGCATCACACTCACTTAAACTCTTAGCTCCACTGAACTGTTCTGTAAATCACATTGTTCAATTGTTTCTGAAAAGGCCCATTCTTACATAATAATTTCAGATTATACCATTTTATGATTATACCAATATTCACTATAATGCCCAAACCCTAGGAAGACAATAGCTCAGAAATACTGGCACTGTTTCACTTTTTGGGGGGAAGACAGAGCCAAAGAACAGCAGTCAATGTGCAGTAGGGTGGCAATAAGCTGTATTGAACTTTAACAGGACCTGTTTCTGAGTAAACAGGCACATTGGGCTGTAGAGATACTGACTGACTTTTAGGAAAGATGGAGATTTATTCTGAAATGCCATTTCCTTTTCTCTGGCAGGCATCTGCTCCTATTGCTAATATTTCATTTGAATGTGAAGTCAATCCTGAACAATGATTCATCTTGTCCAGCATGTTATTTCTCACAGGGGCCAACCAGACCCTTGGGGGAGTCCACCAGCAAAGTGAAAAGATCACATTTGTTTCCTACTGCTTCTGAAACAGGTTCTGTTACAACCAATAGCACAAAAAACCTTATTCTCTTTGATTTTTTAAAGCCCTCTTTTCAAACCATCAAAACCAATGCTTTTGTTATGAATGTATTTATTGGTATTAACTTCACTGCATGATTCCATGTTCCACTTTCCCAAGAGGGAATGTTCTCTCTGTTTACTTTCACTACATGCGTGATTTTAGACACCTCTCCGTGGCAGTATCCAGTCTTTTCTCTAGCTGTGTTAAACATGAAAAATGTATTCCTAGGAATGGAGTAATTCCCTCTGAATCCAGTGCAACTTAGACTCAGTCAGTGCTTATCATTTCAAAAACAAATCAAAACAGAAAACAACAAAATCAGAGAATAATACACCAATAATTGTAAAAACAAAAAGCAAACCCTAAGTGTTCATAGTAGAAGTGAGGCATCCAACATATTTGTCATATTGCTGAGAAAGCAGGAAATTACCTCAAACTTTGGAAGATATCAAGATGAATTGCAAGAGGATCACTTTCTTATGATAAACCAGAAAAACGGGTGTGTGTACACAACATATACAGGCACTCCAGTTCATGCATCACCACAGGGTAAAGAACAGCAGTTCCAAATACCGGGGGGGGGGGAAGCAACAGGGAGCACACCACAGCTGGTTCCCAAACCCCATGGCAGCCTCCCTCCTAGAACTCTAGTTTCTGCTGACTGCCTGCCTCTGTGCTCTCCAGCCTATACTTGACACTGCTAGCCAGCTTTCCTGTCTGCCTACTTCATATTCTTCCATTTGCTGGTTCATCAAAGATGGAGAAACAAAAGAGCTGCCGTTGCTGGAGAGAGATGGGCACTAGTCTGCACCCATGCTTTATACACAGGAGCTGGGAGAACAAAAACAAAGAGTTGGACCCAGAATGTTATTTGGAAGGGCCACTCTACCCACTGCACTCTGTGGCTTGTGCATAAATGATAGCTTGCCTGCTTGCCAGTTGGCAAACAACTCCGTGTTTTTCCCTCCCAGGAACAATAATGAGGGCAGTGGCAACTGCTGAGTGCAGGGGATATGTAAAAAGGAGCAAGAGTGGCATGTGGTTCATGAGCCACAGGATGCCCATCCAATACACAAGACTATACACAAAATCATCGGATGAACTTTCCTGTATAAAAATTTTCCTACTCACCAAAAATAATGTTTCTGCTTAGTACTCTTTTGCTATGCATGGTCCACATAGGTGTTTAAGACAAGCCTTCTGATTTCTTTAAAATAACCTTCATATTTTCCTGAGATACCTACCAACAGATGGTGGGTACATTCACTGCAAACTCAAAGAAGAAGGGAGATAAAGCAGTTGTGATGACCTAGAAAAGTTAAAAGAAAGATGGTGATTTGTCACATCAGTTTTCTTTGTAAATATTATCCAGAGCTGATGAAGAAGGAACAGCAAATGAAGACAAAAACTTTCAGAAGTACTATATGTTTAATTGATTAACAGTGTAATCAGTATATGGAAGGGGCTTGGCAGCACATCATCATCATTATAATTAGGATTATGATCCAAATGCAACTCTTTCCCAAGATCCTTTAACGCAGGGAAGATCAAAATGCAACCCATGAGCAGCATATGGGCCCCAGAATATTTTTACAGCCTTGTCATACCTCTGCAGCCCCCCCATATCTGAACAGTTTTCATGTCTGTTAATTGTGTGTGTTTGAAAAGTGCTCTTGCTAGTCTTTAGAGGGCATGGGGGCAATTTTACTATGTTTCGAGGGTCCTAAACACCCCCTGGATGCTCACACCCTCCAAATATGTTATTTAAAAAACTTTTTTGGTCACTAGAAAGCAGAGGGAGGGGGACTTTTCTAATTTTTAAAACATCTTTACATTAAACCAGTTTTTCAGTTAATAGTTCATTGTAGTGATTTTTACAATTTAAATATAAGTAAACAAATGAGTATTAATATGCAAATTAGTCTCTTCAGCAACTTTCCCTGTAAGCTATGTGGGTGTGCAGCTGCAAAGCAAACACCCACAGCCAGTGTTGCTGCTCATTTGGTCCTGGTCGCGATGGGAACCCTGCATGCACGGGGCGGGGTCCCTGCCCCGTGCTGGTGGAAAATTTGAGGGAATGTTGCTCTTCAGTCACAGCCCTTCACTTTTAGCCTGTCCTCTTTAGGACTGCAGGTCTGCCAGCAAATGGCTTTGCTAAGGTTTGCACCTAAAGGACCTTTGCTTAGAAAACAGCACAACTCCTAGCATAGGAGTTAGGTAATAAGTGTTCCATGATGAGGTAATAAGAGTTCCATGATGAGGTAATAAGAGTTCCATGATGTCTGCTGATTCCCTCCCCGAGTAGAAGTCCCTTCTGCCAGATCCTATGCTATTTTCAAGGCTTCCCTAGTCCTCAGAAAGGGCTCCGGAGACTCATTTTTTAAACTCCCCTCCCCATGTTACGGATCAGTCCTGCACATTTTCCCACCTGGCAACTGCCTGGTATGAGTCATAGGCCACATTTCAGCTCCTGCTGTTTCACTTGAGATGCCTCCTAGGTTTGCAACAAGTCAACAGCACCACAGCATGATCAGAAATCTTGCAAAATGTAAAAAAGTCAAAGAAATACTGGTGTGTTCCTCAGAGTTGTCAGTAATGATGAAACATGAAGTTGTTATCATATTTCAAGTGTATTGTAATCATTTGAGAAGGCATTGACATTGGAAACTGCCCAAGAAAACTAAGAACACTTCAATATTTTTTGGCTCGATTCATCAAAAAAGGAAAAAAATAGCATGATTTCTATTGGTGCATCTGTTGTCTTTACAAATACTTTTGTGCATATGGGAATATTTAACAATGGCAATTTTCCATTTCTAATTTCATTTCCCAACCCATGGCTCCCTTGGGATAACATTATTTAGAAATGCACCCAAAAATTCCTAGGCCATGTACAGAACCATTTTGTTGACTCTTCTCCACATGCCCCCTGCAGCTAAAGTATTGATTCTGCCACTTTCTTCTCGGATGATGTAATGGAAAAGAAATGGAAGCATTATTTTTATTACAGTAGAAAGCAATGAAGGGGAGAAACTGTGGTGATTCAATATTTTAAATGTTCCATTAAAAGGATTAGATGTTTTTAAGTTGTTACGTGAGATGCAGAACAGTAATAGTGAAGCATGTTGAAAGAAGCACATCTACCATCCAGAATATCCCAGGGATGGGGGTGTTTTTTTTTGGTCCAAGAGTTGTTCAGCTCCAAAACTAACATTTATTTCAGCGTGAACTTTTGCAAATTGATTGGCTAGACAGCTTGGTGAGTTCTATGCCTGGCTGCGGAATTGGGGGTGAGGAGTTTAATTCCCCACTGTGTCTCCAGGGAGAAGAGCCAGCCTGTTTGTCCTTGGGCAATTTGCACAGTCCTAGAGATGCCACCAGAAGAAGAAACTGATAAATTACATCTTGAGGACTCAGTATCTAGGAAACTCTGCCAATGATCACCATAAATCAGAATTGACAGTACATAATAATTATTATTATTTGTGGAGTACGTACAATCTACTTTCTCAAATGTTTTCAGAAAAGATTTGGGATCAGGTATATAAATGCAAAATGAACGAATTTGAAAATATGTCTGGGTGTTTGTTAAAAATAAAAGCTGTATTTTCTTTGAACAGTGTTGGACATAGATTTATATACTATTTTCAAAAACTGTAAATTAGTATATACTTTGGTGTTCAGTCCTCTAAACATCTGGAATCTGTATTCATAAATTTGCAATGGAAATTATCCCAGACCAATACTTGTTATTCTTTCCATTCATTCACAGTTATGTCTATGAATCATTATTCAGCTTAAGTTATTTATATTTGGAGAGAGAGAGAGAAAGAGAGAGAGACTAAATAAAAACATCAGAGTGCCAAGGTGGGGGTGGAAAAGAATCTATTTCGTGAGGAGACTTCTCAATGAGAAGCTGGGATTTGAGAGATCCTGTAATCCACTCTTGTTCTTGAATAGAGAAGCAAAAGACACAAAAATGTTAAGAGTAGCCCTGCTGGATCAGGCCAAGGGTCCATCTAGTCCAGCTTCCTGTATCTCACAGTGGCCCCACCAGATGCCTCTGGGAACACATAAGACAATTAGATACCTGTCTCCTGATACCCTTCCCCTGCATCTGGTATTTTGAGGTACCTGCCTTTGAAGCCTGGAGATTATACATCCTCATCATGGCTTGTAATCTGCGATAGATTTTCTTCCAGAAATCTGTCCAATCTCCTTTTAAAGGCATCTAGGCCAAATGCCATCACCACATCCTATGGCAAGGAGTTCCACAGACTAACAACACTCTGGGTAAAGAAATATTTTCTTTTGTCTGTTCTCTCTCTCTCAACACTCAATTTGAGTGGATGTCCCCTGGTTCTAGTATTGTGTGAGAGGGAAAAGAGCTTCCCTCTATCCATTTTATCCATCCCCTGCATAATTTTATATGTCTCATACTTTGTGCGATGGAAGATATCAAGAAGCATATGAAGGAATCAGAGAAGTTCATAATATGTTTATTTAGACAGGTATAACATTATGCATAACTGGGTCATTAAAGCATGTTTCTTAATATTGCCGCAATAGTTCAGGTTTTTTTCCAACGTGTTGCCCCTCAGATATACTGCCCAACAATTCCTAAACAGTATAGCTGGCTGTGGAATTCTGGGAGGTGTATTCCAGCACACCTGGAGGGTGTTGTTGCTTAGTCATTTAGTCGTGTCCGACTCTTCATGACCCCACGGACCAGAGCACGCCAGGCCCTCCTGTCTCCCACTGCCTCCTGGAGTTGGGTCAGATTCATGTTGGTAGCTTCGGTGACACTGTCCAACCAAATGGAAAAAGGCTGTATAGTTTTAGAGGCAGGATTTGCAGGAAGGAACTTAACTGGATGGTGAGAATGAAAAGCAGGACATTTGCCTCCCTGCGGCCATTTGTTATACTTCTGTCATCTCTTTCTTCTGTGATGGAGCTCCAGGTAAGATACCTAGAATTCACAATTAATCTCCCAACTGGGCAGTGACCAGATCCAAATCTCTTCAGCGTTACCAAGATTACTGCATCATATGCCTTCAGGCCACACCGAGGGACTGGTGAATGATTACATTGGCTCCTACACGGGAATGACCTGGGAGTTGGTGGGAAAAATTAACCAGCTGAGGTTCTAAGAGCACTTTCCAACCCTTCTGCCTGTCATTAAGGAAGTACTGGTGCATGACTAGAATTTATTTTCATTCCAGCCATGCACAAGTACTGTATTTTCCTTTTCTTCCTTGCCACCTTTGTATTTACCATACGTTTAATTGCAAGCCTGGGACAGGCAGCTTTCTCCTACTTTTCTGTACAACATGGTGGGCAAAGTACAGCTCTCTAGATGTTTCTGGATGGCAATTCTCAAATCCCCTAACCCCTGAGCAATAGCTATGGCTGTTAGTACTGATGGGAGTCATAGTCAAACCATATCTGGAGCACCTCTCCTTGTCCACCTCTTCTCTTAAACCTTCCATGAATACTGTCAATGTTGTATAAAGAAGACAGCAATCACTGCCATTAGTTGTACTGATGGTGAATAGCCACACACACTCTTCTGACCTTCCTATTCTATATTACCGTACAGCTTCCATCATCTATATGCCTTCCCGCATATTCTGTTTCTATTCCTATGTATCCTCAATTCACTGAATGCCTTTAAAAATCAATAACATCACAATTATAATTTTGTGCATTTTTGCTAAATTTATCCTTGCTCTAACCATTTTAGCTATGAACGCTCTGTTGCTACAAAGCTTCCTATTGCATTTTTATTTTTAAATATCTGGGCACACGATTCTACTTTCTGAATAAATTTAATGATTATATTACACACTAAGGTGTTGTTATGGAGACTGTTTGGAAGACTTTGAAGCAGTTCCAGTGGTAGATAATTATTGCTGGATGCTACAAAGCCATTATCAAGCTGTCTCTATGGAAACAAAGTGAAAATCTGTACTTAAAACTGCAACAAATCACATGTATCAGTCCTTTTCTCTACATGCTCTTTAGATACTGAGATGGAACAAAAGTTATATTGTCAAATTCTGATTAATTATACTAGGACGAATTATTATTTCTTGTGCAAATATACTGAATTACAGACAGTAAGACAACAGTCCTCTACACCAGAGGCAGAAAATTCAGATCTTGCTGGGTTTCAACTCCCACCAGACCAAGCCTGCATGGGAAGTGGAGTACAGTGATATCTGGAGGGCTATTGACACCCACCAACCCAGAAAGACAGTGTACTGTTGTGGATAGAGTGTCAGATTAGAACTCTGGAGATCTGGGTTAGAATCCCTACTTAGGCATGGAAATTTACTGAGTAATAAAACAACTTCTTCAATCTCACATACTTTGGAAACCCTGCAAAGTTCACTGTAAATCTGAACTGATTTGATGGTATATAACACATGCAGGTCCCCAATTATGGCTCTACACATTTACCTTCAAGAAAATACCATGTATTTCAGTAGGTCTTTCTTCTGACTAGACATGTACAGGGTTACACTAAGACTAGAAGCTTAAGAAAGCAAAATTTCCCTTCTTATACATTTTATGCAGCAGAAAACTGAAGCAGGCAGACGTGTCCCGTTTCAGTAAAATTCTCAGTACAGATTCACAGATATTGATGACACAGAGAACAGAATATTAGATACCTAATACCAGCCAAACAGATTAGGCTGCATGAAAAGAACACAACACGTTTAGCTAACTTGGGGCAACTACACAGGACAAATAATGCAGCAAATTCTTTGGGATTGGAATGGTCAGATTTGCATTATTTCCTGTTGACTACACAATGTAAAAGTCAATATAAATCAGCCTGGAGTCTCCCCCTCCCTCCATATTTCCCCCCAACCGTGAGGCTTCTGCTTTTTGGGACTTGAATGCATTCATATCAGTTCAGATGGTTTGATCACTTGAGCCAATGTGTACTGGTTGTAGTTGTATTTGAAGCATGTCAGCTAGCCTGGGGGGGGGGCAGTGGGGAAATGGCTGCTTTTTATAGCCTTTCTTCCCCTATCCAGTGCCTGGGTCTGCTTCTTTCTTTTCTTTCTTTCCTTCTTTCTGTCTTGACTTGCTGCCCTGACACTAGGACAACAAGCCTTTTAAAGGAAGGAGGGACAGACAAACGGAAGGGGGAGGAGGAGGGATGGAACAGCAAGAGAAGAGGGAAACAAGCTGGTCCAGGCACCAGGTTTGCAGAGGAGAGAATTCAAATGACAACCACTTTCCCCACTTCCTTGCTTCTCTCACCGCTGCTGTAACCACCACTTTTAGTACAATGGCTACAAAACAAATTAACCCAGCGAATCCTGACTTCCTAGGTACAACTTCATAACTGATCCATTCACAGTTTTTCTTCAGTCTAGTCGCATCCTTAAAAGGGTAAAGGTTCCCCTTGACATTTTCAGTCCAGTTGTGTCCGACTTTAGGGGGCGGCACTCATCCCGCTTTTCAAGCCTTAGAGCCAGCGTTTGTCCGAAGACAGTTTTCTGTTGTCACGTGGCCAGCGTGACTAGGGAATGCTGGTTTACCTTCCCACCGAGATGGTACCTATTTATCTACTCGCATTTATATGCTTTCGAACTGCTAGGTTGGCGAGGAGCTGGGACAAAGCGACGGGAGCTCACTCCGTCACGTGGATTCGATCTTACAACTGCTGGTCTTCTGACCCTGCAGCACAGGCTTCTGCGGTTTAGCCCACAGTGCCACCATGCCCCTTATGTCACATCCTTAGACAGCCATAAATTTATGTCTGAACAAGGCCAATGCATGATGTCAGCAAAATCCCAGTTTTAGAACCTTCCCAATATATGGGTTTTTAAAATAGTTACTTGTACGCTGTACCACAGAAATTGGGTCTGAGAAGGGAACATTTGGGTTAAGGGCAAATGTGATGATGTACAAATAAAAATTCTTTTTAAAAGAGAGAAACCTAAATCTGCCCCATGAATACAGAAAGCAACCTAATCATCCTGAGAGAAAGAAGCCACTAGGCCTGCAGAAAAATATAAAACATGCAATGCTTACAGAAGTTGCTGTGCTGGAGTACAAAGAACAGATCATTGTTAAGGATGTTCTTTAAAAGTTAAGGATTTCAATTGATCCTTCTCAGTGTGCTATGGAACAGCAGCCTTGTTTAAGCATGTGCCCATGTTGTTGGAGGTATGGAGATATGAAGATAGGCAAAGTGGAACAGCAGCCTTGTTTAAGCAAGTGCCCATGTTGTTTGTGGGGGAAATCACAACTGAAAAAGATATTTCATCATCCACTCTTGACCTAAGCTGTGGAGGTATGGAGATATGAAGATAGGCAAACTTACATATACAGTAATCTATTCTAGGCCTCATACTATTTAATATTTTAAACGTTTAGACCAAAACCTTGAGTTGTTATGGACTTCAGTTAGGACTAGAGATGGGTATGAACCTCGGTTTGGAGGTTCATGCTAGTTTGTATGTGTGGCACCACAGGTGCTGCCACACGTTCCCTTCCCTCACCTCCCCAGCCAATACCTGACTCACCAATCAGAGGATGCTCCTCTCCTCCTACTATTTAATATTTTAAACATTTAGACCAAAACCTTGAGTTGTTATGGACTTCAGTTAGGACTAGAGATGGGTACGAACCTCGGTTTGGAGGTTCATGCTGGTTTGTATGTGTGGCACCACAGGTGCTGCCACACGTTCCCTTCCCTCACCTCCCCAGCCAATACCTGACTCACCAATCAGAGGATGCTCCTCTCCTCCTCCTCTTTGGCTGTTCAGACAGTCTCCGGCAGGAACACAGGCTTGCCTATCCTGCCTCCTTGTTTGAGTAGGTGATCAGCCAAGGAGGAGGGCTAGGGAAGCCCATGTTCCTGCTGGGGGCTGGCTGAACAGCTGAAAAGGAGGAAGAGATGAGTGTGTACAGCTGGTGAGTGGGGCATCCAGAGGGGCAGTGATGGAATGGAACACGTGGCATCTGAGATGTTATGCATACAAACCAGCATGAACCTCCGAACCGAGGTTCATGCCCATCTCTACGTATGACAGAATCTGGATCTAATCTCCAACGCAAGCAAGCAAGCAAACAAACAAAACCACTGTTGCCAGAAATTAGTTTGCTGCCTGACGGCAATTACTGCTAAAGCTCAAGGTGTATTCAGAAACTGATACAATACAGGAAGGTTTCAGTGAAGTGCTATCATTTTGCAATGGATGAATTGTGTCACTATCATTGTGTTTTTATTCTCAGAATCCACCAACAGCTTCCTTGCCTCTGAAGATGCAAGGGCAAGATCAGACTTTCACTGCACACTTTTCTGAGCCGAAAAATATCAAATGCAGATTACACTCACCACTCTCAATATGATATTGTGCCAGAGCAGAGGGGAGCCACACAATCCTCTCTATTCACATAAGGTAGAGGTAAACACTATTCACAGCAAAGAAAGGCACCCCATGTGCCCTTCCAGATATTGTTGGATTCTAATTCTATCATTCACAGCCAGCATGGCCAATGTTGAAGGAATGATGGGCATTGCAACACCTAGACATCTAGAGGGCTCAAGTTTCCCACCCTAGAATGGACTAGAGTTAGATACTATCTGGCCCCAAAGGGAAAAGTGATCCTCTTACCTTTGCAAGGAAACTCCAAATCACATATTGTCCTGAGGATGTGTTGTTTTTAAGTTTCATTGTGTAAAATGTCAGAAGGAATCCCAAAATTCCACTGTAGAGGGCAGTAAATAATGTCATTAATATTGCTCATGGTTTTGACTAAGATTGTTCAGCAAAAAACTGAGTTTTTCAAATAAGAGCAAAAACTCTGGAAATTCTATTTTGGATATTTTTGGGAAGGTCAGTAAAAAGAAAGGTAAAAACAGAATAGTCTTCTCATTTATGTTATACAGTATATGAAAAGAAAATTGTCTTGATTCAAAGTCTCTTAATGTCATTTAAACTTCCTTGTAATGTGGCTATCAAATCACTTTTGACTTATGACAACTGAATTAATGTCCTCTAAAAGTATCTTCATTGGCTGTCAATTCATGTTATATTCAGTCTTCCTCTTTTCTTACTGCCTTCCTACTATTATTGACTTTTTCCAGTGATCCTTGTCTGCATGATACCCCTGTTTCCCTGAAAATAAGACTTAACCTGAAAATAAGCCCTAGTATGATTTTTGGGGACGTGGTGGCACTGGGGACATGGTGGCGCTGCGGGCTAAACTGCAGAAGCCTCTGTGTGCTGCAGGGTCAGAAGACCAGCAGTCATAAGATTGAATCCACGTGACGGAGTGAGGGCCCGTCGCTTTGTCTCAGCTCCTCGCCAACCTAGCAGTTCGAAAGCATGTAAATGCGAGTAGATAAATAGGGACCACCTCGGTGGGAAGGTAAACAGCATTCCGAATCAAAGTCGCACTGGCCACATGACAACAGAAACTGTCTTCGGACAAACACTGGCTCTACGGCTTGGAAACGGGGATGAGCACTGCCCTCTAGAGTCGAACATGGCTGACTAAAATGTCAAGGGGAACCTTTACCTTTTTATGATTTTTCAGCATGCTTGTAATATAAGCCCTACCCCCAAAATAAGCCTCAGTTAAGTGAAATCCCACCCTCCCCCAACCAGAAGATGACAGGACTGTATTTGAATAAATGTAGATGGTTGTACATGGAAAAAAAAACCCTGAAAACAAGCCCTAATGTGTTTTTTTGAGCAAAAATATAAGACCCAGTCTTATTTTCAGGGAAACACGGTAGCATGATAGTAGTTATTAAGTCAGTTCTCATAAAATGTTGCTGTAAGAAACTATTCTGTAAGTAACCAACACTGGGTTTACTGGTATGCTTTGAAACATCAATATACTAGTTTTGCTAAATTCTAGGCTAATACAGGTTTTGTCTTACATTTGGCTAATAATACTGTATGGTGGTAGATGGGACTCTTAGGGTGTTTCAGACACACCGGAATCTAAGAAGAAACCCTAAACAGTCAATTGACTGTATAGGCTGCAATCTGAATACTATAAATAAATAAATAAATGGACACTGAACAATATGTAAAATATACTCTTCTGCCTTGAATTTCACCAGCCTGTGAAGTACATTTTTGGTCATACAAAGATTTGTTTCAATCAATCAATCAATTTTCAATAAATACAGTGTCTCTTGCTGCCCAGAACAAGGGTCATGAGTTCAACACCAAAGGTGTTGAAATGGTCTAAAATCAATTTTCAATAAATACAGTGTCTCTGCCTGCCCAGAACAAGGGCCATGAGTTCAACACCAAAGGTGTTGAAATAGTCTACTTGCCTCCAAACACAATATCTTTAATTCAGCCTCTAGTTCAGAGGTTGATAAGGATCTTTAAGGCTCATTAGTCACGAAGCTATATGGAAGGGATTGTCAATGCTATGAAAGAGAATCCCAACAGAAAAAACTGTTCTTTATTTCTTTATTTCTTTATTTCTCTTAGAGAAAACTGTTCTCTCTCTCTCTCTCTCTCTCTCTCTCTCTCTCTCTCTCTCTCTCTCTCTCTCTCTCTCTCTCTCTCTCTCTCTCTGTGTGTGTGTGTGTGTGAATCACTTTCTAGTTATGTTTTTAGGGGCATAAGAGTTATACATGGATTTTAACTATGTGGGGGTTCAGCACCATGGGGTCTAACCCCAGTGTTGTTGAAGGGATAAGTATAGTAGCAGATCCTTGACATAATTATTTAACTGACACAGGGTACCAAGCAGCTGCCAGCTGCGACTTAAATCAATGGAATGTTTGTTAAATGTTCCTCTTCTAATCAGTTTCCAAAGCCTGCCAAATAAGAAGATGCACAAGCAAAGAAATCCACCTGTAGATGCCTTATTGAGTATTTTGATCTAATGCTGTATAATCCCAAACTAATTTATAAGAACTGATCTGTTGATGAGTCTCTGAAAGATGGCTTTGCTGTATGTGCTATTTATGGCAGGGTGAAAAGAACAGGGCAGATGTGACCCATTATGTGCTTTTTTATGCTTTTGCATCCCCCACTCATCATCAAATTGTCCATTGCTGCAAGCCATGCCTTGGAAAATGCAACTGCTACAGAAAAAAGCACAAACCAAAACTGCTCTTGACTGCAGTGGAACCCTCTGCAGCAGGACCAGTTCAATGGTGGGGGTAGATACTCTCCACTCCCCTGTACCTCCGAGTAATCGTGGTCATAGCCAGGAAAGGCTTTGGTGTCTGAAAGGTTGTGGGGCAGACATTGCACCCCACTACTCAGAGATGCTGCCCATCTTTGGAGTATGTAGAACCATTTTCGCACCACAAAAACCATTAGGGGACACATTGCGCGCATGTGCTTTGAGAAGCCCACCTCCAGAAGTGGGGGGAGTGGAGAAGAATACGAGAAGGGAACTCTAGATGACTGCAGGGATTTTTTACACCATCATTGTTACAAACCAGAAAAAAATACTATATTTTGTTCACATTTTTACATGCTTCTAACTTAAAGTGGTCTTGAGACATCAGAGAGAGATTATTTTTGGATTCTTTTATTGAAGTGAAGATAAGGCAAGGTTACCTGGCAAAGCAACTGCCGTGAAAGCTGTAAAAAAACAGGAATGGAAATTCCAAGGCACTGAAGAGATCACCTAAGGGGAAGAAAAAGTAATACATTCAGTGGGGCAAAATACCCACTGCTGACCTTCTACACAGAAATGTCATTTTAACTGGTTGGTTTGGGTTTTAACATATGCTTTTAATAGTTTCTATACTCTTTAAATTGCCATTACTTTGACAACAACAGTTTCCTACCCTGTTGAGCAGGCCCTGGTGCTTAGTAGAGAAAGGATGTGTGCATTTAGTGAATGTAATTCTACTTGGAAAACGATCATGTTGGATGCAACAGTTTCCAATGGAAAAGCCCAAATTCCTTTCACTGTGTTTATATTCATGAGAGATCAGTTTGTTTCCACTGAACATGTTAAGGCTTTTTGTTCCATACTATCCAGCAGGAAGCACTTGTAGGTATTGCTTGTTTCCTCCATAAATTTGAATGGTGGCACAAAGAAAAAAAGAAAAAGGAAAGGAAAATTACTCAGGAACAGAAGAAGCCCTTTCAAGGTTTAGTGTTTGAGAGAAGACTGAGATATTGGTAGGGGTAGCATGTTTCGATGGGCCTTGCAGTGTTGGGGGGTTTTTTGGTGATTTTTTCCTTCGGTTGGAACGAATTAATTGCATTTCAATGCATTCCTATGGGAAATGTTGCTTCAACGTACGGCCATTTCGAGTTACGACCGGAGTTCCGGAATTTATTAAGTTCGTAAGTCGAGGCACCACTGTATGTAGAGGAGGAATATATGCAGAAGAGAATCAGAAGCTGAAGGGAGGTTGAAGTACTCCTCATTATCATTGACGGCCAAAACACATGTTGAGTAAATGCATCTTTCCCATTTTTACAACTTTTCCCTCAACAATGTGATTTCCTTTGTTATATGTATCTGTGCAATTAGATATGAAAGTTATTTACATTTCAGTTATCACTCCAGTTACATTCATGCTTCTACTTTTAATGACCTTTCACGTTTACACATTTTTGCTACTTAAGGAAACTCTGTTTCTAAATACATAATTAGCATCCCATCTATGGAGATCTTCATACATTCATTGTTGCTCTTGTTATGTGCTGGTGACCCCATGAATGAGAGATCTCCAAAACTTCCTGTCCTCAACAACCCTGCTCAGCTCTTGTAACTGACAATTTGATGGAGATGCCATAGATGAAGACTGTGAGACTGCTTTGCTTCAAAACATGAATTATTGTAAATTTGGATCTGATCTGATCATAGTGGGATCGATCTGATGTTACAGGAAGCTGCTGCAGAAGCTACTCTATCTGAAACCCTGCCATTAGGCAAGGTGAGAGAGAACTGCCCTGGGCAGCAAATTTCAGATGCCATGAAACTGCAGATGGTGAATTATTACCTTTCTTATCACTGTATCTCTACTGGGGAGAGTTGCTTACAAAATTTTCTACCTTATGTCCCAGAGTATCCAGGCTGATTTGGAGTATCATTCACCTTGAAATGGGAGGAAAGAGCACCATTTGATGTTTATCCTCTGAAGCACAATACATCCCTGCTAAGTATTGTTAGATGATTACTAAGGCTGCCATTATAACTCCTTAGTCTTCTTTCCTCCAATAAATTTAACCTGTAAATCTAGAAGCTACTCTGAACTTTCCACTGTACAGAGAAGAACAGCAAATAGACAACGTTCTACATGAACATAATTTTGAACATCACAGGTATGGCCAGTTATAGCAGGACAGAACAGTTGGATGAATGAAGGATGAGACTGACTGTATTATATTCCAGGACAAATATAGTTTCTTGGCTTCCATTGCATGAAAATCACTATCAGGATTTTCCCATGCAGCTATGTCTCTATACGTACGGATAAACTAACTTCATTTAAAGGAACAGAAACATATTCAGGTATATAGGTAACACGCACACTTACAGATCAAGTACTGGTGTGTAACGGCTAAAATCCTGTTGCAGTTATGCAAAAAAATTTTTTAGAGATGAATGCCATAAGTTAGGAAATCTCTGTAGACATTATTTGTTGCATACCAAGTCACACAACTCAGTATGCAATAGAAAATGTCTACAGAGATTTCTTAACTTAAGGCAGTTCCCCTCTACAAGGCTACACCTTTTCTATAACTGCACAACAGGATTTCATCAAACACATACTATTTCTATCACCATACATTAAAAAAATAAAAACAGTTTTGAAAAAGTTGTCATTATTTTTTACCTGTTGGGTGGGATGCAAAAGCCAATATCATCACACTGAAAAGAAAACAAAGTATATTATTAGTTTTAATTTTTCAAGGAAGACTATAATGTACTTTTTATTCCTTCTGTAACTTGAAATATAGTTTCAATATTTGTGTTCTGCAGTTTTGAACTAAAATTAATACTTGTGCTTTTCTATTTTAAATTTTAAAACGTGCACTTCTGCAGTTTTGACATAACTGGTAACTGTAAATATACGTGTGCTATTTTATTGTTAGCCGTGACAAGACAGGCTGTAATATTTTAAGTCCTAAAGTTTAAAGCACAGTAATCAGATAACCACTTTTGAAGATCTATAGCATTTGTGTATGTGCATATCATACAGGCATCTGCAATCATGCAAATATACAATTCTTTGCTAAAAGAATTTGTCTTCTAGCCAAATTCCACATGCTTTGCAATTCAAAGTCCTCAGACTACAGCTTTATAGCTTTGGGAAATGAAATTACATCATATAATGCCTAGAGTGCACTACTTCGTTGTAATTAACTGTTAATGCATGTCATAATGGCTTTGATGCCTTCACCCTCCCAATCTTATAAATTTAAAAAGTCAGTTTGCTCTCACTGCTACAAATGATAGGTGTGAATATGATCTCCCCATTAATGTCCTCCAGCTTAGTCCACAGCGTAATGAGCAGACTGCATATCTTGTACCATCATATATAATTCTATGCTGGTCCATGAAGTTTGCACAGAATAAATACATTCCTTAGGATTAAATTCTTCCTACTTTGAGCTAAATTTTGTGATTCAAACTGCAATCACACACCTGTTTACCCAGGATTAAGCCCCACTTAACTCTTTGGGAATTACACCAGAGTGGACACATATAGGATTGCACAATAACTTACTTTTATGTTTGTGATAAATTATCACAAAACACTCCATTTTCCTGACACTTACAATTTTTTTTCTTTTTACCGTCGACAGGTGGCCTGGATCTTTGCTTCTGAAGTAAAATATTGCCAGGGTATGCTGCTTTATTGTGGGCAAGTCTGTCACTATGAAGGTAGGACTGCTCAGAGTGTTTGGTTTGCTCGAGTAATTGTAATGCTGACATTATGGCTGCATGAAGTCTATTGTAATTCAGTATTAGGACTTTTTTGGGGGTAGAAAGATATGTCTGAAATGCTTGGACTGGAAAAGATCAGCTACGTGGGGGTAAGGACATCCAGGTACACCCGAGTAAATGTGGCTGGCCCAAATTATTTTGCTATCTGAGCCAATGGAAAAGATGATATAGATGTTATATGCATTCCATATAGAAAACTGGTCAGGCAGCAGAAGTTTCATTTCACACAGGCAATTAATGAGACAAGGTTCTCCAGACCACTTTAGGGGAGGAGGTGCTGTTAAGAGCAGCAGGATAGTCTGTGTGGCACACAGAGCTCCCTTCTAGCAGCAACAAAATAATTGACAGCAGGCTAAGAAGGGACAGCTTGTGGGTGGGTTGGCTGCCACAGCTTCTCCCCTACCCCCTACCCCCACCATCTACTTTACAAAGATGTTGCCTCAATCAGCCTATTGTCTCCCTATGTGAAGGAACAAAGGAAGAATGCTTTTTTAAAAAAAGATGGACTAAGAATCAGAGTAAGCCAAGAATCAGCTGAGGACTCCAAGTATTTGAGGATACAGGATGTTTTTCTCTGAATATCTGATTTGGGATAGGGGTACTCCCCCTTTCTAGGAGAGTGCCTACTTCTTAGATCCATTTCATATCTCTTTGTTTACTTGTAAATAAAACACATATTTTACACACATAGAGACACAGACCACTAAAAGACCTTGCAGAAATCAAAACAATAAATGACTGCCCCCAGATCACAATTTCAGGATGTGGATATTGGGGAAAAAATAAATAGAGAGGATGTAAGTTTTACCTGAATGCATAGTTTATATATTGTTCTTCTGAGATACTAAGAAAAGGGAACATATTATTTCAGGGATGAGAAGTACAACAACATTTTCAACAAACACTAACTTGAAGACTTCAATCCCAAAACACAACAGTGGTATGTTACAAACATTATTTTGTTATTTTCAAGAAGTTTTCTTGATGGTGGCCTGGGCAAACTCTCTGTGTTTCAGATCCCCCCCCCCCGGACCTTATTTTGGCAACTGAAGTCTTCAGTACAACAGTTTACTCTGGGTCCAGCAGTACCTCAAACAAAAGTTACTCCGCATGTCTGGTTGGGTGTCCTGGCTAGTAGTGTCTCTAGGAAATGCCCACACTCACTGTAGCAACCAGTCATGGAGCCTAGTATCCTATTGGGTTTCTGCTGAGGGGAAAGTCCTGCCAATGTGGTAACACAAGCGCATGCTGCTTAGGTAAGTATCATTGTCATGCAAGTGATGGTCTCCATAAGCAAAACTCATCCTCCATATAGAAACACTAGTTCGAGTGGTGCAGTCCTTCATTACTATGCAGACTTTCTGCTCAATGGATACTCACTAGAATACTGGCCAGTTGTATGCACAGCCCAAACTAACTCCTGCCTCTCTATCTCTCTAAAAATGCTCCTATATATTTATTTATACATCTGCATGTAATTGAAAGTGACCTATGGGACTCTTATCACTTTCTAGCAGTTTAGAAAAGTTCCTTTTTTTGGACTACAACCGCTACATCCTTTAGCCAGCAAGGCCACCAGAGTTCTAGGAGTTACAACAAAAATAAGCCCTGGCTCTTCTAAGTTCCGCGCTGTGGTTACGCCTGTTTTGACTGGTTTCTGAGACTGGCCATTTTAGCTCAGTGGATGCCATCATACAAGTAGTGATTAAAGCAACTGACAAACATGTTTTATATGTTTCTCATCATCTGGTTATGCTAAATACTACAATCATAATGCCCTTCTATTCTCATTGTTCCTAATCTAGCAAATGTTTAACACACTAAAGAGCACATTGTCATAAGAAACAAGTGCTGGCTAAAGTCCATGTGCACTTTAAGATATGTGGATTAAGAGACAGGAAGGTAAGTACTGAGTAATATTTAGCAGCAAGCAGTGTTTCAGTCATGCTCACTTCTGTACCTACAAAGGAAAACATGCTCATCCCTGTATTCACTGACATTACATAGGAACTATGCCAAAATATGAAGAGTGTAATGACTCAGTCCTTCATGTGGACATGCTAGCATTATTCAGAATTTCCCCAAACTGCTCAGAGCTCCATGATAAGGAAGAAGTTGTGTAGTTTTAAGTTGAGCTAATACTAAGGGAGCCAAACTTGGGTTGCAAGATAATCACACAATCCATAGGGCCACATGCTCAGAGTACAACATTACAAGGCCCAATGATTTAATTGCAGAATTGTTGTGACTTCTCCATGACATAAATTATATATTTTTATTGAGGGAAGGGCATTAAGAAGTACCGAGTGTGGTGTAGAAGATAGAGTTAGGTCTTAAAACTCAGGGGACCTGGGTCCTAACCCCAGCTTGGCCATGATAACTCGGGGCAGGGACAGAGACTGGTAGAACCTCTCCTTAAATATCTCACTTTCCTTGAAAGCCCTATTAGGTCACTATAAGTCACTGTCCTATAATACAACATGTGGGGGTAATCAATCTACAGCAACCAATTTTTTATATAGGTGAAGACCTCCATACTAACCTGCTTTAGTGCTATTGTTAATAGTGTGACAAAGAAGAATTAATTCCACATCTGCAACAAAATAGATATCTGCCAGAGGAGCAAAAAAACTCACCCTCCTGGAACTGTAGTCTGTGCATGCACATGTGTGTATGCTAAAATTTAAATTGTGGTGTGCTTTTTTAAGGAGAACCCAGTGCAGCAGTGAGGACAGGGGAGAGGGTTTGTCAGTTGGATCAGGTTCTTTGTTTTCTTTCTCTGTTTGTTTTTACTCATATTTTAAGTGGTCTTGCTATAACCTGTTTACTTAAATTGATCACTTCTGGGTATAAGTTAACTAGGTAAAGGTAAAGGTAAAGGTAAAGGTTCCCCTTGACAATTTTTGTCCAGTCGTGTTCGACTCTAGGGAGCGGTGTTCATCCCTGTTTCCAAGGCATAGAGCCAGCGTTTTGTCCGAGGACAATCTTCCGTGGTCACATGGCCAGTGCGACTTAGACACGGAACGCTGTTACCTTCCCACCGAGGTGGTCCCTATTTATCTACTTGTATTTATATGCTTTCGAACCGCTAGATTGGCGGGAGCTGGGACAAGCGACAGGCGTTCACTCCGTCCCGTGGATTCGATCTTACGACTGCTTGGTCTTCTGACCCTGCAGCACAGGCTTCTGCGGTTTAGCCCACAGCGCCACCATGTCCCAGTAAGTTAACTACTGTATAGCTAATTGCTTGATGCTTTAAAGAAGCCATTGTCACTACTCTGGTTATTGCATAACAGAGAGATTAACAAAGCTACTTCTCTATCTGTGTCTTAATATTTTGTGCTTATGAATATTCTAGGATTTGTTCACTATCCAACAATATTGCTTCTTCCCCCATTATTCTTTTTTTCCTCTTGTAATAACAGTGTTTATGTCTCACATAATCCCCACCCCTACCCTATAAACCAGACAAATACGTCACCTTAGAGAACTAGGCTTCCATGTCTTGTGATATGCTTTGTAGGCCCCTGTGAATGAAATCTGGTTAGTAAGTCACATTGCAGTGCTGTTAGTAAACAATTCAAGTTTGGCATCAGTGTAGATTTTGTTGTTATTAAAGTCTACTTACACTTTAAAACAGTCAAAATCTTCAGCAACATAAAAGCTATGCTGGTATGCACAATATTTTCTATTTATATAATGTTCCAATATTGATCAAAATCTCAATTCCTTGTTTTGTTTCCACTCTAAAGTGCTCTTTTTTCTCCAAACAATTTTAGAGCTTTGTTCCGCCTACACTTGTTTGCCATCCTATTTTTCTGGTGTCGTACAATTCAGCATAATGTTGGATTTCATTCTTATACTTTTGGAAAGAACCACACAGTATATCTTCTCTTCCAAAGGAAAGCAATACAAACAGATGCTGTTTATGCAATTTGCTGGCTATCACACTGTGGACAAAAGCCTGGAAACTGGGAACCTCCATCCAAATCCTATGAAAATTAATAAAAACTAACTGCACATATGCCTGTAAGCATAATATTCTCAGATCTGAATTGCAGAAACTTACCAACACATAGCAAATGTACGAGAGTCCAAAAATAGCCATATGTCTCAAACTGCAAAATAAAACATCAAAGTATGGAGAGATAAACAGTTCCTTCATAGCTAGTTTCAAGAAGTAAGTAATTGATGGGGGGGAGAGAAATCTGTTTTAAAAAGCCACTACTTTATCTCAATTACTGCTTAATTTATTAGTAATTTAGTTGCTTGCCTTGCTTTTTATGCAGCACTACTAAAAATAATAAAACAGATGCCATTTTTGGCCGTCCATATATTTTTGGACTACAATTCCCATCAGCTCTAGCACATATAGCCACTGATGTTGGCTATGTAGGGTCACAAGTTTCCCAGCCTTGCCACAGAAAGTAAGAGGAACCTGTGTTCCAGAAAGCCCCATATCTTTGGGGCAGAGATGGTCTGTACTGGAATTTTGACAAAAGTTAAAACAATTATAATATTTCATATAATAAGCAGGCCCAATTTGAAACACCAGTAAAAGCAAAGTCCCATCCCAAATATGCAAACCTTAAAAAAACTGTATAGGTTTGATTATGTACATATTTTGGATTCAATGCAAATGATTAAAATACTTTTAGTTTGCTTCTCCTTTTAAAATTCTCACAATAAAGCCAATAAATGTCTGGAAAGAAAATAAATGATGTAGTTGAACAAATTCAAATACATCTACAAGTAAATCACTGTTTAAACTAATCTCCCAGGGTGAAAACTTGAAGGTTTAACATATATATATTTCTCACTTTTTCTCCAAACTGATCATCCATGTCCTCTTTATCTTTCACAACAATCCTGAGAGGTAGGTAGATTAAACTGATAGATTAAAAATCACCCAAGGGACACCTAGTGGCTTTCATGGGATTTGAATTTGCGCCTAGAGCAACATTATCCACACAGCAAATGTGTAAAACTATTTCTAAAGTCTACGTGTAGGACTATTGATCTCTCAGATAAAACCAACTCAGAGTCACAGGGAAGGAAGTAAAGTAATTCTTAATAATGGTCAAGGTAAAGTGTCTACCTATTTCATGCAAAAACAAATAATTAATTTCACCACGCTAGAGTTCCAAGCAATGATATACAAATGGGTTGGGGTTTGACAGCAAGTTCAAAATTTGTTCTGAACACCAACCTACTTACCTGTGGGTCATGTATTGGAAGGCACCCTGATGCTACCAGAAGAATCAGCACTCTGTATTGAAGAGAAATGTCAAATCTTTGATTCTCACATATTTGCAGAAGAATTATATTTTTGTCATACTACTTTAAAACTTAATTATAGTAATAAAGGAGTATGTGTGTATCTCTCTGTGAGTCTATATGTCTATGCTTCCAATGCAAGACCATGAAATACAGAACTCCTGACATCTAAAACATATAGGAAGCAGGTTCTAGGAATGTGTATATTTGGATAAATGGATTTTCAAAATTGTTTTATTAATTTTAGTCAATTTATATCTGCTGTAGCCTGGAATACCATATTCAGTCACCAAGTGGCAGAAGAGAGGAAACTGCAGTCAAACCTGGCACATTAATACCTCCAGAGGGCCTATAGACATCTCCATGTAGGCCAGAACTATGAAAGATAAATCAATATGCTGGGGGTACCTTCTGTAAGATATCCAAAATCTTCAAAATGAGAAAAAGAGAGAGAATTTTGTAGGCTATTGGGAGTAGGGGAGAACAGTAAACAAATGGAATGAGTAATGGAGTGGAGCGAGGAAAGAAAGACCTGTGAGGAAAAATATGGGAGAGAACAGAAAAGAAAAAACAGAGGGAAGATAATAGAGCACAAAGGTCAGCTGTCTAAATGGGTCAGAGAAAAGAGCACCTGGATGGTGTGTGTGCTCCAGATTTTCCATGGGAAGAGAGGCATCAAAGGGTTCCACAGGTCTATACATAAGGGTTCAAGTTGAAGCTTCTTTTTAACACAATTTTTATTAACTAAACCAACAAAATAACTCCAAATTATTCCAAAACAAAGTGTGCTCCTTATATACCACCCCCCACAGGTCTATACATAAGGGTTCGAGTTGAAGCTTCTTTTTAACGCAATTTTTTAAAACTAAACCAACAAAATAACTCCAAAGTGTGCTCCTTATATACCACCCCATAGTGCTTAAAGCACTCTCTGGGTGGTTTACAATTCAATTATAAAGGCTACACATTGCCTCCTCCCAGCAAGTTGAGTACTCAGTTTACTGACCTCAGAAGGATGGAAGGCTGTGTGAACCTCGAGCTGGCTACCTGGGACTGAACCCAGGTTGTGAGCAGAGCTTTGGCTGCAGTACTGTTATTCTAATCACTTAAGCCTTGCTTTGGTCCACCCAAATGATTCTGGGCTGCACTAAAATTCAAAGATGATGAGTGATTATTTCACTCTCCCCCTACAAGGCTCTAGGAGCTCATAACTGTTTTGAAGGAAGAGGACATTTGCTGGATGCCCCACTCCTCAGTTTCAAACTATTGGAGGGGTGTGCTGTTTACATCCTACCTCATGGCACTAAAAGCACTTTCTGAGCAGTTTTCAATGTCAAGCCAGCTACCTGAGTCTATTGGGATCAAACTCAGGTCACGAGTAGAGTCTTGGCTTCGGTACTGCAGTTTAACCATTGTGCCACAAGGGATTAAACTATCTCTATCTCCCCCATTGTTGCCACTGTGTTGGAGTCAGCATCATTGCATTAGGACCAGCAGGAGGTTGCTGGCATCTTCTCTGTGCAATGGCATCCTTCACCCAGCTGAAAGACAAGGCTTGCGGACTCTCTTTAGGCAGTTTGGTCGCTATGGTGCTTCTACCCAGGTCTCCCCTTCATTATCCTCTCTTGCTTCCTTCCTCTCAACTCTCTATCACCACCAGCCCTCCTCTCTCTGCTGTCCTTTCCTTTTATACCCTAATGGTCTGCTCCTCCTTTCCAGATCCTTCTATACTAAGCATCACAACTTCAAGAAGATTCCTCACCCTTTGGACACTCAGGGTGAGCAACTTCCATCACCTCCTCATCCTTCACTTCCACAGGAGATTCTGGTAAGATTATTGGCTCCATTGTCTGTGGCATGGCCACCTTCCAGGGATAGGGTGGCCCTAGAGAGACCACCTTGGGATGGTTGATTTGGAAGATATGAGGGTTGCCTAACACCAGAACCTTTTCACCACTGAATGATGAGAAACAACATCCCAGGGGGTTACTGAGAGAGAGAGAAAAACACTGGGATAGAAAAAGCACTGGGTAGAGTTGGGGTAATGGAAAAGAAACGACACCTAAGTGAGAGGGAAAGAAAACAGAGATAAATGTGGAATATAAGGAGTTTCTAATTTGGTGGGTGGGAGGAAAAGAACCAGGATTTACAATGGGGACTGAGAAAGGAAGTGGGTGGTCCTTCCTTCCTTCACTGGCAGGGTGACTGGGGAAGTTCCATGAGCCACAAAGGTCCCATGGACCACAAGCTTCTCATCCCCAACCTACAGGAAGCAATAGAGGGCAACTTGAGTGACTCTAAGGATGGTGTACACAGGATGCCTGAGCACCCTGTTTTTATCCTAATGAATTTATAAAAATCAATAATTCCATTACACCTATTCCAATGGAAGTTTCCACAACTTCTTGCTGTGTAGGAAATATAGTAGTGGATGCTCTTCTGATGTCTAAAAGCAGCTGTAGGAAAACAGGGGGATCAGGTCTATGAAGCACGTAAGGTAAAGGTAAAGGTTCCTCTTGACATTTAATCCAATCGTGACTGAATCTAGGCCACTGTGCTCATCCCTGTTTCCAAGCCATAGAGCCAGCGTTTGTCTGAAGACAGTTTCCGTGATCACATGGCCAGCGCGACTAGACAAGGAATGCCGTTACCTTCCCACCATGGTGGTACCTATTTATCTACTCGCATTTTTATATGCTTTTGAACTGCTAAGTTGGCAGGAGCTGGGACAAGCGACGGGAACTCACTCCGTCGTGTGAATTCGATCTTATGACTACAGGTCTTCTGACCTTGCAGCACAGAGGCTTCTGCGGTTTAACCCACAGCTCCACCACATCCCCTTATGAAGCATGCAGAAAGAGTTAAATGTTTTCTTCGTGCCATTGCCCCAATGCAAAGTTTTCTCAAGTTAACAGCTTGAGCTGCTTTACACACAAAGTTAAAATCCCTTTCCTATTTTCAAAGTATTCCACTCAGTCACACTTATATAACAGCTTCTTATAGTTCTATGTGCTTGGGAACAATGGTCTTTTTATCTTGTTTTTCCCCCCACACTCTAAGCATTGGAAAAAGTCTGAACACAGAATAGAAACTCTTTTAATTATTCAAATCGCTCCAATTAAAGACACAAATTTATGAGCCCCAGCCACAATTCTCACAAGCAGGACTAGATTTTAAAAAGGTTCTGTACAACGTTTTAAAAGGGATCACACTTACTAATAATAAACACAATGTAAATTGGTCCTAATGTTCAGAAAAGTACACTGAATGAGCCAAATGAGAGAGCCTTTGAATTATAACACCCGGTGTTATAATTGCCCTATGAGGCAACCCGTGGTTAGATCTAGATTTTGGAAGGCGAATTTAATTCCTATTTGTGCCAGTAGAACTTAAGCCATGCTTACCGTGCTCCACTGACAGTGATAGGACATAAGTTCATCTTTGTGTATGGACCCAACCTATATTCCCACATAGCTTAATATTTATGTTTAAAGCTTCTCTGTGTTTCACTACTGAACTTATATCTCATGGCAAACATACAATGGGACACCTTTATGGGTTTCTGACTACAGGACCATTTAATCAAGAAGGTAGACACTTTGCTATGAGTGATTCCATGAACTGCAGACTTTTGACACACAACAGGAAACTTACCTACAGATTTTAAGAGCGGAGATTTCCTGTATAGAAATAATATAAAATGTGATTAAAAGACTGGACCAAATATTAAATGAAGATTAAACCAAAGATTAAACCAAGAAAATTATATTTGATATGTCTGGAGGTTTATTTTTCCATCTCTTACTAATAGATTGTTAAATGATGTTCGTACCCAACCCAGCATCACATAGGGGTGAAGGATGATTTTAAAATATTTTACTAAATACATTATACAATAGTATTAAGCATATTTCTAGACTTTCAACTCTTTTTCAAATGGGACGTCTATTCTGGCAGCAGTAGCAGAAATTGGAAACTCAACTTGAAACAGCTCCTAAGACGACATTCTGGACAAGAATTAAGATGGTCAAATGTAACCCAAATTAAAGATCTTATTTTCATTAAAATGTAGTATGTCATTCTTTCTTTCTCACTGTTCAGAAACACGACAGTACTCTACTGCAGTGTCCTAGCAGTCCTCCTCCTTGGGAGATCTCAATACAAGAAGCCTTATGTGTAAAGAAGCAAAAAAAATTTCAATCATTCTACTGGAGATCAGGGTTGGTTGAAATATTCAGAAGATCTAGACCTTACACTGGAAAAATGCTTCCAATCAGCCCTCAGTAACTTAAATCATGCTGATGTTAAGTGGCACCCTGTGTTTAGGGCAAAAATGAATAGCTAGAAATGTTAACAGATGGAGTAGCTCTGAGTCAGATACTACTCCAAACATTTTGTACTTATAGTGCACACATTTGACTTCGAAATGATTATCTGTATTAAACATCACGGTGTCTTTAAAAAACACAAGATGATTTGTGGAAAACGTCCTGGATGTTACTTTGTAATGTGGGTTTTGGCCATCCAAATCCAGCTGAGCAGATAACATATTTCTCTGACGTGGACAAAAGGGGGGGGGGCACTTTGAAAAGGATCTGGAAGCTGTATTGTGACATTGCTTTCAGTTCCACCTCTCCCAGCTTGAGCAGGACACAAGATTACTTTTGAATTTCTTAAGGATGGTCTTGCCCTTTCTAAGAACCTTTCTTTCAGAGGCTTCAGGGGACCTTAAGAGAAGAAACTGGAGACTTCAAAAACAGCAGAGAAAACAACTGAAAGCATAATGGCTGGAGAATAATTTGTCAGGGTGCTAGACAGAGATAATGTGAAAGTAATTACTACCTACCCTAACTATATGCTTGATATTTGCTTCCTATTCTATCCGAACGTTGTAAAATAAAGAGATTATTTTAAAAAAACAACTACAGATTTCTCTGGTTAGAGATTTTGCTAATGTTTGGTGGATCCAAGGGCCAGTTTTCTCTGCACAGGATGCTCTGGGAGCCACCCAGACCACTACCACAATAATAATCTGGAAATGGCTAGAAGCCCATTTTGAAACATGGTTATCTGAGGTTGTTAGAATAGTGCAAGAGCCCCATAACTGATTTAGATGGTGAACTGCCACTACTGGTGGCTTCAATGTGTGGTTATTTACCCTTTTTTTGCAGGAAAAGATGAGGTTGCAGGAGGCCAGGGGCACTTGCAACACTAAGGCCACGTGCTGCCCTCGTGATAAGTAGGTAACTTGTACAGTGGTGCCTCGCTTAACGATTTTAATTGGTTCCAAAAAAATCTTCGCTATGGGAAAACATCGCTAAGCGAAACGCGTTCTCCCATAGAGATGCATTGAAAACCGGATAATCCGTTCCAATGCAAATGGATTGCCATCCTTAAGTGAAAATCGCCATAGGAAACATCACTAAGCGAAACGCGGTTCCCCCATTGGAATGCATTGAAACCTTTTCAATGCATTTCAATGGGGGAGAAAAAAAATCACAAAAAATTCAAAAAGAGTCAGAACGAAGCCAAATTAGTTTAACAAAGGGTTTACTAAGTGCACTAATGATTTAAAGCACTCTAAACCCTTTTTATACAATTTAACACCTTTTAAAAATAGCAAAAACGGAGCTGTCAAAACCATCGTTAAGCGAAACAGGGGGACCTAAACTGTCATCGCTAAGCGAAGCAAGGTCCCGAACATCGCTATGCGAAATTCCCCCATTGGAAACATCGCTAAACAGAGCGCAAGATCGCTCCTAAAACCTCATCGCTAAGTGAATACAGTGGTGCCTCGCTTAGCGAGCGCACCATATAACGACGAATCCGTATAGCGATCCCCTTTTTCGGGATCGCTATACGGAGCACCCAATCGCCGCACCTCGCATTGCGATGATTGGGGAGTCCGGCCGCCATTATCTACCCTAACTATATGCTTGATATTTGCTTCCTATTCTATCCAAACATTGTAAAATAAAGAGATTATTTAAAAAAAAAACAGATTTCTCTGATTAGAGATTTTGCTAACGTTGGGTGGATCCAAGGGCCAGTTTTCTCTGCACAGGATGCTCTGGGAGCCACCCAGACCACTACCACAATAATAATCTGGAAATGGGTAGAAGCCCATTTTGAAACATGGTTATTTGAGGTTGTTAGAATAGTGCAAGAGCCCCATAACTGATTTAGATGGTGAACTGCCACTACTGGTGGCTTCAATGTGTGGTTATTTACCCTTTTTTTGCAGGGAAAAATGAGGTTGCAGGAGGCCAGGGGCACTTTCAACACTAAGGCCACATGCTTCCCTCGTGATAACTAGGTAACTTGTACTTCCCAATGCTTAGAGAAAAGGCAGCATAATGCCTTATTGAGAATGGGAAAGATCTAGGTTAGCTGCACTTTGCCATCACTCCAGTTAAATCTCACTAATATAAGAGAGTAATAACTGCTTAACGTTAGTCATAACTATTTTTTAAATTTTATTTTTAAAAATAAAAAAGATACAGAAAAAAAAGAACATAGAATGGAAATGTAACTAAAGAAAACGGTAATAACATAAAACCACATTAACTGTAGAGTAATACATAATGTACCGTACTTCCCTCTCTCTACCAGAACCATCTGGAGATATAACAAATTTCTTCCAGTCATAACTATTTTTAACAGATTTCAATAGGAACGGTATCCAGCAATGAATTTACCTTAGCAGAAAGCCCTTCCCTTCATAGGGACTCTGTCTGCACCAATTCCTCCTACTCATTTAAACTCCCACAACTGAAAACCTACTCCTGAGATTTAGGGCACTTCTCCAACAGAATAATTTGATGATGATGATTAAATAAATAGATTTTTATTTCCAAAAATAATACATTCAAAAGATTCACCTCATTAAATGAAAGAAAAGTCAGAGACAGTAAGCAGATTTTTTTTGCATAGTTAAGATAATAATTCAGTTTTATTTAACCATCCATGCATATATTACAAGAAATTACTTTTGCCATACCTCTTTCTGCACAAATGCTTCGATTCCATACGTTAGAATTTCTGCAGCATTGTGTAAAGTAAGAAAGATAGGAATTGGCTGCAAGGAAAAAAATATGACCAGTGGGATTAACAAATGTTCCCTTTAGTGTCCTCTACTTAATCATCTTTTTCTTTCATGATACTAAATATCTAGGCATTTTAATGATAATGCAGACATCACAATTCAACTTCCATCACAAACAGCTATCAGAAACCTGAAGGAGTGAAATTTTCCACAATTCCTGTTTCAACTGACTGCGTAATGTGCCTGCAGAACTGCTTTGTGGAGAACACTCCCACCTTGGTGCAATGAGCTCTACTGCTTATGTAACAGAGTTACGCAAGGGTAGTTACTCAACAAGATTTCAGCCAATACATGTTTTTAAAATTCTTTGTAAGATGCCTTAGCTCCCTCTGATGGGAGAAAGGCAAGGAAATCAATCAACCAATCAATCAATAGTATTTGGCACGAACAATATACTGTACTGTAGGGGGAAAGCCTGTAAGGCAATTATGGAACTGTTAACCTTATAAATAAAATTTGAATCGAAAATGTTGCAACGTGGAGTAGTTGCTGTTGAGGATTTAGAGAAGGAACTGTCCTTGTGTCTAGCTTTTTAAAATGTGATGCTGAAAACCTTGGGGCATCAGAGGGTCTCTTTACATATCCGTCCTGTAAGTGGTTCTGGCTGCATATGCATTTAGATGCTATATAGAGAATTAAATGGGTGGTGAGAATATGGGCATGCACATAAGCCCCACCTTACACCTCCCATTCAGAAGTTGGCAAGTTAAATATGCAAATTGTGATAAAAGAACTCGTGTATTCAGCTGAATGGCCTTAACAACACTTCTCATGATCTGAAGTGATCCCTTATCACAATTCCTGATCACAGGAATTTGCAGGCTCCTGTGTAACCTCCACATTAAGCACACAATGTCTTATTGACTTCCGGGGTGATGTAGGAGTAGGGCTTACATGCATCCCCATGAGGCCATCACTAGTTTTGCCCTCTATGCTTTTAAGTGTTAATGGTTTCAGGAGAAATGATGTATTCTAGAATAGATGTATTGTATCGTATCATATCCAGCAAACTAAAACCTGTTTCATCACTTCGAAAGAGGTGTCAAAAAAGTGGAAGTGATAGGGAAAGCTTAGGAGTATTAAGATCCAGAGTCCAACAGAGGGCTGGGCAACTTTGCTTGATCCAGACACCATTTTGTTCCTGCTAGCATGATTAGTCTTTGGTATTGTTCAATGCAGGAATAGTTCTGTGAACTATTTGGAAGGTTAGTCACTGTCTTTTTTCCAGAAAGAGGACAAAGGAGAGTCAGAGACCCATACAAGTAATCTGCACTTTCCTACCCTGATCTACTGCAACAGTTGTCAAGCACGCAAAGCACAGCTCACTTCTATGGATGTCTGTCACATAAATAATTTTTTCAACCACAAGCTTCTGTTTAATACATCTTATTCTTCAAATACCTTCAGAATTTAAAGAATCCTACTTTTTAAGTAAGGTTAGCACAACTTGTTGTGACTTACTGTGGCTAACCAGTAAGGTGCTGGGTTCCATCTTGATTGTGTACTCTCAGGCACAGGATCAAGAGACACCCTGGCAGTTCCTCAGTTTTGCTGCAATTAGCCACAGGGACGTGGTGGCGCTGCGGGTTAAGACTGTCTTCAGACAAACACTGGCTCTATGGCTTGGAAACAGGGATGTGCACCACCCCCTAGAATCGAACACGACTGGACAAAAATTGTCAAGGGGAACCTTTACCTTACCTAGCCACAGCAAGATACATAACGTTTAAATGAAGAGCAGTAGGATTCTATGTGCCTTTTATGAAAAACTGAGTTTTATGGAAAATGGAATTTGTAAATTGTTAGAATAGCTTTATTAGGTAGCAAGGCACTTCTCTGAAATTCTTTTCAATGCTTTGATTTCAGATCCTTTCTTGTATCTAATCAATTTATCTGTGACAACTTCACTTTTTCCTGTTAGAAGTTAGATTAAAGAGGAACATAAGGCTAGGTTTCCCCAAATTATTTGGATGTAAGTACAACAACTACATAACGTTTATGTATACGTTTTACAAATGTGCAAGAAAAAGTATTTAAAAAGCAGTTCAACAAAAGGAAGCAGACAATAAAGTGTTGACAGTTTTCACCAAGCTAAAAAAGAGAGAAAAAAATCCTAGTCCCATTGTTGGGTTTCTTGCCATTTGTGTTGCTGAGTGAGAAAGTTCAAAGGAGATCATCATCTAACACAGGCCTCTTAAATTGGAGCACAATAATAGGAAACACTAGAAATAATGTCTTCCTAGGAAATTGGACACCAGACTTTGTGTTCTTTCTTTCCTGCAGTCAAGTGAAGTCAAATTGCACACACCCCTCACTCACCCCTTCTCCTCCTCTATGCTATTCATTCTTTCTTGAGCCAAGAGAAATACGTTTTGCTGCCAACAATGTCTCCAGATTGCCCAGCTCAGCTAACCTTCACCAGATGTTTATTGTCTTTGATGATATTTTTTAGCAGTTTTTGCCTTCATAAAAGAAAGCTTAATATGTTCCCATCTCTCCAGCACCACCTCTCCATCAGTACATCTCAGTCAAATGGTAAGTTAGAAAAATCTCCATTCAGTATGAAATGTAGCTTCTCAGAAGGGAACAAACAAGCAGACACAGAGGCCTAATTACATGCAAGCCAGATAAAAAATCGTGAATAGTTTCCATAGCATTTTAAATGCAGAAAATTATTCTCCTTTGTTCTTACCATTTCTCTCAACTAATGGTCACATTTTGATAGACAAGAGGCTGAGAATAAAACATCCTTCAGTGAGTTTATGGCAGAGCTGGAATCTGAACTCAGGTCCCACAATACATGTCCAGTTTTGGCTTCTGTATTTTCATAAAACACCTAAATATTTTTGTATATTTAGCTGAGTAGCTTGGACAATGAACTTGATTTTTATTGCAGACCACCCATCGAATGAACAAATAATATAATCAAAATCAAATTTGATCTCTTTGGTGATTAAATGATAAGTCCTGCCTCATGGAAGCAGCGATAGCTTAGCATCAATTCAGTGGCCATGTGAGGTAATGGAGCATCTTTCATGTTCATACACAGCACAGTGGAATTTGGACAGGGAAGATATAGAGGATGAACTGAGACAAAAAGGCTCACAAAGGGTAGGATCAAATGTTGCTTTGCAGGGAGAAATCTTCCTTAAAGTGACCCTTCTATCTGTAAGGGAATGGCTCCAGTCCAGCCCCCAAAAGTAGTAGCCTTACAGCTAGATCCAAAAGGTCCAGCTTGGGCACAGATCGGGGTCAGGATGGAGCACAATTCTCTGTATGTCGTGTGATCGCCAGAAAACAGATTGCATCGGACTACTCCACAAGCAGTTCAAAATGTAATCAATTCTCTTGTGTGTTCACACCCGTAATCTGACAACACTAGTGCAAAGTATTTTGTCACTTGAGGTACAAGGGGCTACAGTATGTCAGCCATCCACACACCCACTGCCACTGAATATTATTACTGCTGCCTAATTGTCATTGCTGAAAAAGAGACAACCCAAGACATTCTGCCGCTTGAACGGAAAGGGCCAAACTGCTTCAGGGGAGACCTAACTCTGACTTCAAGCAGTTTAGCATCTTCAGAAACACTCAGTGTTTTGTAGCTGACTGTAACCTCAGTAAAGTCAATGACTTAAACCTCAGTAGGCAATCTGTAGTAAAACATTAATGCTGACAACAAAATGGCATGTTAGATCCTATTTGCATGAGTCTTACCAATCTGGACAATGCCCTGGAACCTGAATAAATAATGCCCACATAAAGTGCAGACGCTGGAAGCCACGACAGGACTTCAGACCTATAAAAACAAATTGAGCATGCAGTTACAACTACGTCACGTTCTACTTAAAATAAGTTCAGAAGTTAACCATACATCATGGCTTTTTTTCTAAAATAGCAGGAACTTGTATAAAGGAAAATACATATCCACTATCATTTTGGTCAGATTTGATGAAAGATACAGTAAAAAGCAGAAGCTTTGCCCACCTTTGTGTCTGACCACCTCCATGTTATCTATGTGCATACATGCAATGATTTTTGGGTTGCCTTCATCTGAGGATTTTCTAAATATAAGTTTTGAATGTTCAGGCGTACATTGGAGAGTCCTTAAAAGTTCACGTTAGGTTAAGCACTGAGCAGAGTGGGGGGCACAACTTTCAGGTGGCAAGTTGTGAGGAGTGAAGAATTGTGGTTCTGGGGATCATCTGAGGGAGAACCCCTCGTGGCCAATCATGGGCAGACAGCTGACTCTGTAGAGAGCGTTGCTGCCCACTTCATGCAGACAGTGCTGCTCTCTTCAGTAGATAAGCAGTGACCAGGTGATGGCGCTCTTTTGCCACCTCCCTCAGGAAGCTGGAGAGAGCTTGATTTACTGCTGTGAACAGCTGGATGTGTCTTAAAAGGTAACTCCTTCAAAACATTGGGCTTTTTAGCACAGCAGCAGCAGGTTCCTCTTTAAACTGGAAGAATTCCAGCAGGCTACAGCAGAGGAAAAGTAGGGACGTGGTGGCGCTGCGGGCTAAACCGCAGAAGCCTGTGCTGCAGGGTCAGAAGACCAGCAGTGGTAAGTTCGAATCCACGTGACAGAGTGAGCACCCGTTGCTTGTCCCAGCTCCCGCCAACCTAGCAGTTCGAAAGCATGCAAATGCAAGTAGATAAATAGGGACCACCTCGGTGGGAAGGTAACAGCGTTCTGTGTCTAAGTCGCACTGGCCATGTGACCACGGAAGATTGTCTTCGGACAAAACGCTGGCTCTATGGCTTGGAAACGGGGATGAGCACCGCCCCCTAGAGTCGAACACGACTGGACAAAAACTGTCAAGGGGAACCTTTACCTTTACCTTTATAGCAGAGGAAGATGTAAAGTAGGAAAGTCGGGCAGGAGATAGGAAGCAGGGCAATTCCAACAGCCCGACTAAAAGACCAGCTCCATCAGGATCCTGCCTTAGCTGTCACCACCAATATCCATTCCAACAGAGCAAGATGAGATGAGAACCAGGACTAGCTCCACTACAGGGTTACTTGATTCCTGTCTACCCCATCCCCTTTTCCCTCATATGTCTGGTCTTTCTAGATTGTCCACTTGACAATAGGGGCTGTATTGCTTTTATTGGCTTTACGAAAGTGGGACTTACTTCTGAATAGATGCGTATAGGATTGATCTGCTTCATCGTTTAATTGTGGTATTCCATGTTATCTGATGAACGACTCCATTTACAACAACACTTTATTTACACTGAAATTAGCCTAGCAAGATGTTTATGTTCCTGTCCTAGAATGCCTTTTAAGGTTATCTATCATAATGGAAACTCATCTAACTCAAACTGTATCTACTGCTACTAACTTCAGATCAGACGGCTACTTAGAACAAGAAATGCTACTGAGCCTCAGCAACAGTGGAAGGAGGCGGGGGGAGGGTGCCCTAAAGCCTGAGAACAAGGTCTCCATGTGGAAAACAAGAGATCATTGACCATGATGTGAAGTTTCAGTCATCCCTGAAATGTCTGCATCTTTAAAATGGCCAAGTAAAATGCAGTGGAAAAGGCCATTAGAGCTGTTCCCATGATGTAAGTGCAGAACCTCTATGCTGCCAAGATTTTTTTTCAGGGCAGGAAAATAATGTCTAACATGACAGGAAATGCTTCACTCAGACATGTCAAGCCATACACTGGCCAGGCCCAGAGCTTATAGTTTTAACAATAACTAAGCAGAAAGCATAATGATTTGTATTTCTTGACTTGTAAGGAGGAAATATATCATATTAAATAGTATGTATAGAAAAGGAAAGATAGATGCACTGCAAAGCACTTCACTTATAATTTAGTTATTAACTACAGTTGTATCCTGCCTTTCTTTCAGGGAGCACAAGATAAAATGATTCTTTCTCCCCCTCTTTTACATCACAATAAACCTTGTGAGGTAGATCATGGTGAAGGACGTTACTGGGCTAGGGTCACTCAGCAGAGCTCAGTGGAGACTAGATCCTGAACCTTCCAGTCCCAATCCTGCACTCTTAAAAGGTACACCTATATCACAAATCTGGATTACGATTGTAATATTTCCAAAGGGATTGTTACAGACTGTGTTTCAGTGAGAGCACTTATTATCTCAATTAGACAACTCTCAGCATCCATCTAAACAACAATCTCCAAACAGCCTTTATTGATGTCATTAATAGCTGCATCCATTGAAAACCAATTTAAGGTTATTGGCTGAATGCACTCATCATCTGAGGCATGGCCTGTTTATTTAAGGGAAATAAAATGAAAAGATGCCTGGAGAATACACATATACCAACAGCCTACTTTCAGTTGTTGGAACAATTAGAGCCAGCTCCTATGAAGTCTTCCTAGCTAGAGTCACACACAGAGAATATGAATCATCATCCCCTTTACATTCTGTTGGGGGCAAGGCAATTTGTACTCATACAAACAAGGCCAAAAGGAAATATTGGCACGGAGAATCGGAAGCAAATATCAATCCTAAGGCTCACTGAGCAAGATGAGGAATTCATAACATATCCACTGTATAGCCAGAGCCCTTAAAGCTGATGTTGATCAGAATATTAACCTTCTGATACATGTTTTTAAAGCTGCTTATCCTCATGTTTGTTTGAGGATACTAATGGCAGTGGCTGAAATAATGTTGCTCAGCATAGTAAATGACAACTAGAGTAGACCCATTGAATCAGTGGGCATTTGGTGAGTCGACTGCTCTGTAAGTCCCACTGATTCAATGGGGCTACTCTAGTTGTGATTTACTATACTGAGCAACGATTTCAATAGGCGTGTGTTAAAAGAACAAACACAAATATGAAAGACAAATGACCAAATACACTGCACATTCAAATCACGTAGTTCCTGATTTATTTACTCAGAAGATGATAATGTGAGAATAAATAAATTCAGCAATTATCTATAAATTATATAAATAATTTACACACACACACACACACAAAAGAAGAGAGTAGCAATTATCTATAAATTATACAGTATAAATAATTTACACACACACAAAGGAAGAGAGAGAGTAGGAGGAGCTTGATTCTCAAGTAGCAGTGGTGGCACTAAGCATATTTTGCCAGGTTTAGTTGGTAAACTAGCTATGAAGCTTCTTTTCACATGAAGGTTACTCTAACCAGTGATTCCCAACTTTGGGTAATCCAGGAGTTCTTGGACTGCAACAGTGATTCCCAACTTTGGGTAATGCAAGGGTTCTTGGCCTGCAACTCTCAGAAGGCTTCACCACTGGCTGGGGTTTCTGGGAGTTACAATCCAAGAACACCTGGGTTATCCCGGGTTGGGAAACACTGTCCTAACTTATCTGCGCTTTGGTGACTAATCATTTGGATAGCTCTCTTGTACTCTTGGTGGTGCTGCCTTTAAAGGTAGTTTGGAAGCTACAGCCAAAATTCAGAAGGTTGCCTTCTGACAAAGGGGAGCATTCAGTACATGCTTGAATTTGGTTTGGAAACAGACACAATTTCTCTTTTAAAACAACCGTTATGTGCTGCCAAGTCACACTCATCTTTTTGCAAGGCCTTTCAAGGTCCTTGAGATATTTAAGGAGTGCCACATCCCCCAGTGATTTTCCATGGCTGAACAGGGCTTTGAACTCAGACCTCCTTGTTTATCTCCATTCTATCTGTTCTCTCTGAACCCAGTCCTCCTTGTTTATCTCCATTCTATCTGTTCCAGCATATTGTCTCTTTTTTAAAACACAAAATAGCAGCAGCAATACATGGCCTAAAAAACACTGAACAGTCCTTTGGGCAGCACCTTGTATCTGATATCCTGTGTTTTCCATCCCATCTTCTACAGTACAGTACTTATTCCCATGGCCACACAGCTGGAAACAGTGTGATGTTTGCCTTGCTTAGACTGACATCTAGTGGAGTTAAATCTTTAACTTTAAAATGAAAAAAGAACCAAGTGCAATACTTCTGTTTATAATATTATGTAGAGTAACAAAAACAAAAGTTGAAGAGGCAATGCTACAATTCTGATTTATTATCACAGACCTCTCCATTTGTACTGCTAGTATGCCTGCATGAACACATTGCAAGCTATGTTCTAATGTACAATCGTGTTTTACCCACTGCCAGGAACAAATTAAAGGGCAACATTGATGTTAATCATCAGAGAGTTATCTTAACACAGATTTTCACAAGATACAGATCACCTTCTTCTACCAATGTAGCACAGAACAATTTATAAAAATTAACCAATTTTTGCTTTTCAAATTCACAGAACATACCAACATACTTCTAAGATGCTTCAGGCTTACTTCTCTCACTTAAACATCAGACTTGACCTCCCACTAAGAAACCAAATATTACATTTCACATCCAAGATCCTAAAAAAGATATGTAACTATAAGCTTGCCTCTCCGGAAACTAAGGCCTAGATCATTCATACTAGGTACTGTTGATTATTATGTATGGATATGAAAACTGGGCGGTGAAGAAAGGTAAGAAGAAAGACATCAGTCCATTCAAAATGCTGTAACTCTTCTTTTAAGCTAAAATGATTAAACTGAGGCTCTCATGCTTAGGACCTACCATGACAAGATAAGAATCACTAGAAAAAACAATCATGCTAGGAAAAAGAGAAGGCAGTAGGAAAAAAGGAAGATCTAAGATGGGTTGACTGAATAAACAAAGCCACAGACTTGAGCAAGGCTGAATTTGCAAGACCTGAATAGGACTGTTAATAACAGGACGTTTTCAAGGTCACTAATTGATATGGTAGCCATAAGTCAGAAGAGATATGACAGCATATACTGTGTTTTCCCGAAAATATGACAGGGTCTTATATTAATTTTTGTTCCAAAAATGTTTAGGGCTTATTTTCAGGGGGCATTTTATTTTTTTCCAGGTATAACTATCTAAATTTATTGAAATACAGTCATTTCCTCTTCTAGTTGCTGCATTTTTTTTCAGGTACAACATTTCCTCTTCTGGTTGCTGCACAATGGTGGAGGGCGGGGTTTCACTTAAGTGGGGCTTATTTTTAGGGTAGGGCTTATATTGCGAGCATCCTGAAAAATCATACTAGGGATTTACAGGGAAACAGGGTAACAACAATATTCACCATTGTAAAGAAATGATTGAGCTAGGCAAACAGGTTGAGCACCTATGCAATCTTACCTCCTACAAACTGAAATGTAGATTTCTTGGCTCAATATCACATTTGAGAGAAAATGCTAAGAACATGCTAAGAAGTCTGCATTGGATAAATGGAAATAAGGAAAATAATCTGCCATGTTTATTTTATACTGTGGGAATACACAATCACCCACATGTTTGGTCCACCAGATTTGATATTATTAGTGTAGTACTGTATTAGCATGTATATAAATGCATTAAAATCCATTCCAATTGCAGTGAGCATGTAGAAAAGTCTGCTTTTTAAAAAAACACCACAGTTCATACAACATGCAGGAAAACATACACACATGTATATACAAAGAGCAACATTTCTATGTTAAGAGGACCCATATATCATTGCATAGCAATCGAAATGCCACAAAATACTAAGGAAATCTGTATTACACTGATATTGCTATTTCACTTTACCTTGAAATGCTACTGATTTCTACCCAGCCAATCTTCCAGGAAATGTGTAGGAGACATCCCCCGACTAATGTCTGCCATCTGCAATAGAAGCACACAGTTCATTTCTGAACAACCCACCTAGGCTAATTGTTATTAGTCGCAATGAAGTGGGGTTTTTTTTCCTGCTAGTGACAGCTGAGACAAAATGGTAAGAAGTCTGCATTTGGTACTTGGAGACAAATTAAATGTTGAGCGCCCTGATTGTGGGCAAAGTAGAATTTCTCAGAATTCCAAGGAAACAATAAATCAACTCCAGGCTTGCTTACAAGGACAAAGTTTAATGAGTAATTTACAAATACTGTACTCAAGTGTGGCCTGCAGGTCATCACAAGAAGTCTGAACAACCAATAGGCAGACCAAGCAGTTTTTATAAATTTTTGTTTGCTCTAGCAGTAGTTCCCAGCCCAGATGTTCTTGGACTAAAACTCCCAGAAGCTTTCATCACTAGCTGTGCTGCCCAGGATTTCTGGAAGTTGTAGTCCAAGGATGTTGTAAGGCAACTAGGCTCAGGACTAGAGATGAGAAAGTTAATGGGAAAAGGTCACATGTTAAGTGAAGTCCTAAAAAGTGTTTGTTCCATTTACACTGAGACTTCTTCAAATTTTAAATTGGTGTTTGAACTTATGTTGCTACATTAAAACCCCTCCCCTACACACCTTTTAGTTTTGGAACAAAAGTAAGAGCTGCAGGATTTAAAAAAAAACAACATATTTCTCACCCAGCCTCCAAATGTATTGGCATTGCTTTGGACAGGGTGATCGCTTGAGCCAATGTAAAAAGGTTTGCCTCCAGTCTGTTTGAAGCCATTCTACCCTGCTACCCTGAGAGAGGCAGCACAGCAGAGAGGGTTTTATATGTGCATTATGTCTTTGTTACTTAACTGAAATTTAGATAAATGGGTTGTATTATTTACTACTTCAGTCTACAGTCAAAGGCCTTACTGTAATCTATAAAGCATGAGCTGATTTTCTTTTGAAATTCTTTGGCATGTTCTTGCAACCTACATATAATTGCAATATGATGTTTAGTGCCTCTTCCTTTCCTGAATCCAGCTTGAATATCTGGCAGTTCTCACTCCATATATGGTAAAAAGTTATTGTTTTAACATCCTGAGCATTGCTTTGCTCACATGTGAAATTAATTTAAAATTAATTTAAAAGTTCTGCAGTTACTACAGTTTTTGCCATCTCTTCTGCCATTTTGGAACAGCTGATGAAATATGGAAGCTGATGGCTAGGAATCAGCTGGAAATCTTGTGAATAGGGGATGGTACTAGAAAATGACGTATCCCTTTCCCACTTAACCATAAAAAATATAAACAAGCTGGTGGAAGGTATGTGTGTGCAGCAGAAGAAGCAGCTTTTCACACCAAGAAGAGAAAGCTAAGTAGAAAATAAGGAACATGTAATGTATCCAGTGTGGTATAGTGGACAGTGCGAGGTTCTAGAAATCAGGAGCCTGGGTTCAAACCCCCACTTAGTCATGGAAAGTCACTGGACTGGTGGAACTAATAAAGCAACTTTTTAAATATTTCACTTACCTTGAAAATAAGTAGGGTCATTATAATTCAATTCTGACTTGATGGCACATAAAAACAAATCAAAACATCAAAAGTTCTCTAGATGGGAAAAGTAGTGGTTGTGTGTAAAAAGGCAGTTATCTACATATTAAGATTCTTGTGAAATGTGATTTTGAGATTATACTCACCCTTGGAAAAGAGTAGGGTAGGTAAATTTCAGGACAGACAGGACATACTAGAAAACAAATGTCGAATTAGAGAACATTGTACAATAACATACTGAAACATGTACTGTACACAGATACAGATGCCTTGATAGATCTTCCTTCCTTCTTCCTGTACTAGCACTAGCAAACCATTTTGAGTGCTAATTTCCTCCCCTCTCTCTCCTGACCCCTGTGCAATTGGCTGAAGTGTATTATCCCGGAGAAGCTCAAATCCCCAGGTGTGATTTCACACTACATCTATTTGCATTTTTCCAACTATGTAGTCACACTCTTAGTCAAGGAAATGTTTTCCTATTATGGTCCATTTTACCTTGGTCCAGATCCATCTGGGTCAACAGTAGGTATGACCAAAGCAGGATTATGACATTCATTCTTGAATTTATTCAATATTTAATGGATTAGATATGGAAGACATTTGTAATCACATGGTCTCCTTCAGTAAATTGTGCAAGTTTCCTTACATCAATCTTATTGAGCAGGATTAAAACCCTGAAAATAAGCCCTAATGTGTTTTTTGGAGCAAAAATTAATATAAGAACCTGTCTTACTTTCAGGGAAACACGGTAGTATAATACAGATTTCTCCACACAAAAGCAACATGTTTATGCATATCATTCCAATTACATGCTAAATACACACTACTGAAAGCTGGCTTCAGAGGCCCTGTGTCAGAACAGCCTGGACCCACTTCTGTGACACATGAAAGCTGACAACAGCAGAGGTCTTGTACTCAGAGTTGGTAAGTGATGATAAAGAGTCATGTGTACAACGCAGAGAACAATGAAGTCAACCTGATGACTGCCACGTTATTGACAATTTCACTTCAATGTACTGTACAGCGCAACACCCTTAGGACAGAAAAACCCAGTGAGAACAGAACAGTTTTTATACTGTTCATTCAGGGGCAGATTGAACTCTGAGAAGCATCTCAACCATTCTTTGAGTTTCAAGTGGTTTACTTCTCAAAGCAGAAATAAGATGGCAATTTTGCATGTTTATCTATAAAAATGAGTTCAATCATTTGATGGTAGAAAAATAACAAAAATATAACACACTAGTAACTGTACAATTGGGACAGCATTGGATTTTGCCAAGTGAAATGCCTGTTCATATGCCTGTGGAGTGAGATAAGCTATTACAGTATTCATCCCTCAAGCTCTGGCCCTTCCATCACTAAAGTGTGATTTTACATGGTTTCCTGATTGTATATAAATAGGTAAGACAGTTTTGGTACCTACAGAGTCTCACATCACTACAACATCATATGCTGCACCTGTCAATTTCTCCCACCCTCTTCTTTCAACTATTAAATGCAGATTGGCCCAATGCATATAATACTCTTAGCTGACAAACCCTCCAGTATCTTCGCAGTGAGGAATAATGTCATTTCATAGTTTCATACATTAGGTGGCAGTGGTTGTACATATCTGCAAGCAGTCGGCAGCTTCCACTATCTGTTCTGTTCATAGAGAGATAATAAAGTTTTTGTCTAACTTTCTGACTTTTGTGTCTCCTAAGCCTTTTATGATAGGAGTTAAGGGATGAGGACCACGATAGTCCCACTCTACAGGTACTTTTAGTCAGAAGCCTTCTGAATCTAGTAATGAAAAGGCATTATCACTCTTGAATCTTTTCTCAGTAGGAGGTGGACATCCCTCAATAGCTTCCAGGAGATTTACTTCTACTCTAATGCTACAGAGTTCAGTAATGGCAACAGACGGAGGTTCCATAGCTCAGAAAAACAGCTTGGGAACCAAAGGTTCATATACTATTTTCTACTGCTTTAAACATGAACACGTACACCTCTTAGTATAGGAGTACAGAGCTAGGAGATTTTCATCTTTTGGACTTCTGCTTACCCAGCACTTCCTACACACTAAGCCACTTTCAGGAACTTGAGAGATGTAAAAAAAGAAAATCAAATCAAATCATTGCTGTAAACTGACCTTACATTTTTTTAACAACAGGCATATTTTCTCAGAATCCAAACAAGGAATAAATGGGATCTAGTAGGTACAAATCAGAGCAGAATAATGTAAGCTGCCACTGGTTCTGCACTGAGGAGCAAAAAATGAGTAAGGATTGGGCAGTGAGAATCTTACTTTTAGTGTGAATAAGGTAATGAGATGCCACATTCAGTTCTGACACAAACGGGCTATTTGGGATTTAGCTCACTAATAACAGTGCAGTTTGCATTTAGCAAGTGGCTACTTGACTGGCCTTCTCAGCCACACTAGACGTTGTTCCAAGAACTCTATTCAGAACATATTACCATAATGTAGTCTCTTGAAACTGAAGGATGCCTACAATACTTGACTGAGTGTGTGAATCCACCAGACAGACTGATTAATCAAATGCGAAGTTCTTCTATAGCTCAAACACAAAAGCATGCAGGTATGGGCTCCATCTGGTGAATCAGATTTAAATTGGTTGTTTTACATCACAGATTAGCAAGGAGCAGCCTGCCAGTTATTGATGGACTAGAACTCCCACCATCACTTATCACTGCTATGCTGGCTAATTATAGTCCAACAGCAACTTGCAGGGCCATCCACTACCCATCTTTGTGTTAGCTGCTGGAAGCAATCTGTTATGTTGGACATTCATTGCCACTATGTGCTTCTCAATTACTCCTCCATTGCTTATAAAACCCAGTTTCTATAGGATGTCACAAAACTTCACTACTTTCTGTCTTGAAAGCAATGGATCATAGAAACAGCAAAAGAATATATCTAACATACTGTATGTTCCACACTGCAGTTAATTTGAAATGTACACTAGTCCATGCAAACATATTCTGAAATAAAACTGAAATTTTGAAAAGTGTTACAAAACTTCTGATTTTTCCTGCAATAACTTCTTGACTTTCATGTCTGCAAAAATGTTTGCAACAGAAGATCACAGAACGATGAAAATCACACTTACCAAAGAAAAGAGGATAACATTGCTTAAAGTGGTATGAGTACATCAACTCAAAGCAATGGTCCCATTGCAATTCCTAAAAACAACCATTCCTTTCCCTGATTTAAGAGATAAACATGAATAAAAACCTGGGTAAGGCAGTCAAAATAAATTAAATAATTAAAATAGGATGGTTATTTCCAAAACTGTGAACTTGGAAGGTGATCAAATATTATGCTTAAGGCTTAACACCTATGAATGGAAAAGCAAATGTAAACTCCAGTATCCTAAACCTACCGTAAATATTATGATTTGATAATACATACTCTCTAACAAAATAGCATGCTCTCAAATGATAAGACAAACAATGCTACATTTTTCTTATCACTTGAGAGTATGTTTGATGGCTTGTATATACTGAAAAGTTATGAGTTTTGAATAATTTTGGATTGTTATCTTAACCATTCTAAAGACTAATAAACAGTCTCCCACTTTGAAAGACGTTACTGTAGAGCTTTCACTTAAAAAAAACTTTTGCTGTATATGGAGACAAAAGATACCTAATATTTATGTTATTGGGAGAAGAGCTATTTAATGAATTAGTTTAGGCTGCAAACCTATAGGCATTTACCTGGAAGTAATTCCCATTGAAGTAAGACGTATAGTATTTACTTTAAAGTACAAAGGCACAGGACTGTTAAAAACACACATACTTTCTGATTCGTTTATAGCCATAAATTTAAGATCGTTTTCTTTTGGTCTTCCCGGTGCCGATGACAGGCGGGACTAAGGGAATAATACTCTTTTGATTGAGGAAACGCCGTTTTGGAACCTTATGATAGCTGTAGTTTTAGGAGAGGTAGCCGTGTTAGTCTGTGCTAAATAAAGAAGACGAAAACGTTGTGGCACCTTAAAGACCAACTGCTCTATTTTAATGAGAGTTTTCGTGGACAAGTCCCCTTTCTAGAAACACTTCCTCGGATAGCTAGCTGGAAGTGTTTGCCAAAGTGCTCAGATCTCATAAGAAACGGAGCTTAAACTGTCTCGTGCAGAACGAACAGCTATGAAACTGACGCAAATAATCCAAAAACGATTTTATGAAAAACTACAACTAGTAGTTGTATAAACAGTTGGCAATTTAAAGGGCTCGGAGTAACTCCTAGGCTCGTTTCCTCCCCTTCCTCACCTTGTTGGTGAAATAAGAAGCCAAGTAGAACAAGCAGAAGACGAGACCAGTTGCAGGTCTCTTTAAATGCATCAGTCACAGCATTTCCCCCGGGCCGGAGACAAGAAAATAAAAAGGCACTTTTCTTCCTACTGAGTTCTATTCAAGGAAGAGCAACTCGAAGCGGCTGCCATGACAGGAACACGTTGCTTCTTGAGATCGCCCCAATCGGCACAAAGAAAAAGGCCCGAGGAACTGCCTTCTTAAAGGGACCGTCGGCTCTCTCTCAAAACTGAAGGAACGCACACTTTCTTAATCCAGTGCTTTTTTTTTTTTAACAGTTTTGTCGGGAACGGGAGAAACTCTCTATCACCCACTGGTTATGGCTAATATTTTTAAAGTGGTGGACAAACCTGAAGTTACCTACCCTGCCCCAGTACTACTTGCTGAACGTTAAAGAGCAGAAAATTTACCTTAGTGATATGTGCCAGTAACAGCAGGAAGACACAGCAAAGTAACAAAAGGTTCAACAACTTTTAAAATTAAAGGAGAAAACTGGAGAGGAGGCAGTGGTATATAATGCACCTACAGGATCAGGTTGTTTTCCCTCCACCCCAGCTTGAAACAGTTACTTTTTTTTTCCAACCATAATTTTCAACAGCATAAATCTTACAATGATACATTCTTTTTAAGGAAAATGAATGCAAGTGGGTATCTCTGTTCATCTCTGACACACATTCAAAGAAGCTAATATTGACATATTAATTATAAACTTTGCCTGATCTTTATTGTAAACTTTGTTTGCTTATAGTACAGTACCCATTAGGTACACTCAATCTGGCCTCCACTGATTATTCTGAAAAACATAGTATAGCGCCTAACTTATCTCCAGTTTCTTTCAGTACTTGTTTTCTAAGGAATATGTGGTTGTCCTCTAAGAATGCAAGAGTTCTAAGCAAGTTGTAAGAGTTCCATATTTTCAAAAGTTGGAGTTCTACTGTTTCTCATTCCCACTGTTATGTGATCTTAAAGGGCCAATACCCTAGAGAACAATATGAGAGGTCACAAAGAAAAGAAAGGGAAAGGAAAGGAGCTGTAGCACGGGAAAAGGGAATACATGAAAATTGCCTTTCTGACTTTTCTTTCTTCCAGTTGGAATCCTGTGTCTACTGTAAATGGCCACAACTTTCCCATAATGTCTGATCTGGATCCAATCCACCTGCTTTTGGAAACATCTAAAGTACTTAGGAAAGGGTTAGGGCTCCTTAGGACTCCTTCTTGTCTTCCTGGACAAAAAGATTCTTCAGATATGTCACATACGGCTAAAGCAAATGTCCCACCACATACCACTCCATTCAGCATGTGAGACAGTCCACCTGCATCTACAGCTGGTGCACATATGTGCATGCCTACTTACTGGTGCATTGCCCCCACACGGTGGTGGACTAATTAATACACATGGTAAACACATTCCACACATGACTAGACAAGTATGTATCTTGCAGCTATCCTATCTGGTTTGTCCCTACAAACGATATAACAGTACCCATAACATTAAACAAAACACTTTAAACAGCAAGCAAGGGAAGCCCTATTTAAACAACCATTTGCCACACAAAATAAAACACAAGCGATGGAAACAAGAAAACTGTTTTCCCAGTTCTTTAATCGCAGAGAAGAGAGCCAGGGCCTGCCAAAAGAGTCATGGCTGAGCTCCTCAGGGGGAGATCACGGCACTTTTTTCAGGTTTATGCACTTGGCCTGTTCTTTATTCTGGCTGCCGGTCACGGCAAGTGGGCCCCCCGCCCCCCGGCAGCCGCTAGTACCAGTTAGTGCAGGCGATGAGGTAGCGCACATCATCCAGCGGGGACAGAAGCCAGGCCTGACACTGGCCGCAGAGCCCCATTCCCAGCTTTTCATCGGGGGATGATGGCGGCGGCGGCAGCGGCCTGGGGCTGTAACTGGAGTTCCCTTCAGCCGACGTCTCCCGCATCTGTCCTGCTGTTGCTTCCTCCGCTTCCTTAGCCTTAGACGGGCCGGCAGAGCTCATTCTTCCTCGGCAACGGGCCTCGCCTGCCTGCCTGCCTTCTTTCGCCTATTATGGCTTCTGGCGGAAGCTCTTCGAACTGCCAGACAGCCGCGTTCCCATCATCCGCTCCCAGGTGTTTCCTTTAAAAGAGGGGCGCCCGAAGAGCCGTCCGGGTCACGCTGCCCTTTCGCAGAGCCGCCTTCTCACGTTACCTGACCGACCGTTGCTGGGTGTCTCTGCGGAGCCTGTTCTGTGTTATTCACGACGCCTCTTTGCAGCGCCTCCTCCCCTTTCGGGAAGTGGGTTAAGAGCCGCAATATGGGCTCCTCAACTATGGCCGGTGTCTTGTGATGATCTTTGTGATGCAGGAAGGCGGCGCGCTGCAGCAGCTGAAGTGCCAGGAAAGTAATCCGAGGTAGAAAAAAGACAGTGATGGGATTTCTAGGTGTTTACAGTGCTCCTCGCCGAGCGGCGCATTAATGTCTTCTTCACGGATCTGCCTTCATCCCAATTTTATAATCTACACTGTGACAATAACTTTATTATTCTTCAACCAATAAAGCGATCTTCGCTGTTACTGGAAAAATGAAAGGTTCTGCCACCCTGCCTGATTATAAAATAGTTAAGCTCCGCAAACGTATCTGGCTGGGGAGCTAGAAACTGGGAATTGGATTCTTCACTGTCCCTGGAAAGTCAGAGTAGACTTGGTGGCAGGTAATTAATTAAAACATAATGAACATGGAGGGTTCAGAGAAGGCAAGTGGAAAAGAAGCCGAACAGACCGAAGGAAAAAACCGCCTAGAATCGGTATCCACCGACAGTTGGAGAGTGTCATAAACTAATATTTTCTAAATCAAACCTGCTTTATTTTATGACCCTTGGCGTAACTGGGGTAAATTGGGAGAGCAAGTACCGTAACTGCAGTGGTGGCACTGAATTTGAAGGAGGATCTACAGGCAAGTGTGGCTGAATAGCATATTTTGGCTGCTCGGGCACCATCAACTGCGATCTCTCTCGTGTTCCTTTGAGATTAGAAACCCTAATCTCAAAGTAACACGCGCACAAATACAACGTAATGGGGCAACTCGTTGGTATCGGCTTTTAAGGGCGGAGTGCCATTTCGGTGCCGCGGCACAATACACGAAAGGGGTAAAACACGTAAACGGGCAACGTGAGATTGCTATTAAATGGGACGGAAACTGTCCGAGGAAGCAATAAATATGGCCTGTAGGAAGCGACAAGGAAAGGAAGCTTTCACAGGAAGTGACGATAGCGGTGGAATCGGAAGCTTTTTTCGGGGCCAATAAGCAGCCAGCGTTGACGGCCAGGGGGCGGGAGAACGGAAGGCAAGTCAAGAAGGAGGCGGAAGAAGTTTTTATTCCGTCAGGAGCTAGTCGTCTTCTTTGGGACCGTTGTTATTACCTGTTACTCGCCTGGTTTGGTTTCTCTTTTTCCTCTTCGAGCTTTTTCCACGCCTAACATGGATCCCGTAGGACTCGCTGCCGTCGTCCCTGCCGCTGAGGCCAGCCCTCGACCAACGTGGCCGCAAAGCAAGGTGAGGAAAGAAGGGATAGATGATAAAAGGTGGAGTTTCTCAGGTCCATCGAGGGTTCCGAACGGGGAAGCGGGGGGAGCCGTTGGTTCTCGAGAGTTTTTGGACTACCACTCCTATAATCTCGCGCCATGGGCCGTGCTCGCTGGGGCGCCTGGGAATGGAAGTCCAAAATGTATGGAAGGCCAGGAATTCCTTTTCCCTGCTTTATTAGGTGGCGGTTGAACCCTGAGGTGGGGAAAAAAGAGTGGCGTCGCTTCAAAGGTGAGAGGGGTGAGGCTTCATAATGGAAGGATTTCAGGTCGAGAATTGGGAACTTGTTAGGAAAGTTCGTTTGTTTACTGCAAGAAATTATTTATGTGAGGAAATAAGTGAGTATTTCTTGGATGTGTTGGCTCGGACCTCTATTAGAAGGCCAACAGCTGAAAACCATTAGATTGCACCACTCTGGTTGGGACACAGCCTGCACTCTTTCTTATTTTCTCTTTCTAACATACACACAACACTTCAATCAGACTGGAGCTGTGGGGAACAGCTGTAGCAGCAAACTCCAGCTGTTTGCTAGGACTTTCTTAGCCCAGGAGGCATTCTCCTCAATTTTTAACATCTTCCATTAAAGATGATGACAAGGGGTTCTTCCTTTAATAAGGCTTGTGTGCATTTTTTTTTAGTCTGAAAGAAGAGTTTACCCCTTATTACACAACAAAACAAGAAAAGTGTCATGCACTTGTTGAACATTGGCTGTTGCACCATTAGTACGGACACAGGAACTGTATGGGGGGAAATGGCAACTCTGTGGGCAGGTGGTGCACTAAATAGGGCCAATGCTTTTTAAGCTGTAAAGTGTGCTGCTCTAGTGGTGAAGATTTGTTCCATGTGATTCACTCCCAGGACCGCGCAGCCTCACATCACTCAACAGTAAAGTGATGTAATAGTTTTCAGCCTTTGGCCTTCCAGTGGTTGGAACTTTAGCTTCCAGAGGCCCCAGCCAGTGTGTCCAGAAATAGCCAGAGGTTCCAGAAGTCCAAAGATGGCAAACCACAGAGATATTGGTTAGAAAGGTTGGAGTTCCTACTCATTAAATTCAGAGAGTGACCTTAGACCAGTCACGTTCTGTCAGTAGCCAAAAATTTCTATTGAAGAGGTAATAAGTTATATTTAAAATATTTTAAGACTAAAGTCAATGTTTAAATAAGGTTTGCCAGTTGCCCTTTGTCTTATAAGAATCTGTAGATAGAGATGGCTCTAGGCTGAGAGCCAAATAAAATACCTTTTGTAATGCTACTCTACTTCAGAGCTGATGAATAACAATAATCTTATGCATAGTAAAATCTTAATACCCTGTTTTCTCGAAAATAAGACCTAACTTGAAAATAAGCCCTAGTATGATTTTTCAGGATGCTCGTAATATAAGCTCTACACCAAAATAAGCCCCGCTTAAGAGAAACCCTGCCCTCCATCATTGTGTAGCAGCTAGAAGAAGATGACATGACTGTATTTGAATAAATGTAGATTGTTATACATGAAAAAACAAAACATCCCCTGAAAATATGCCCCAATGCGGTTTTTAGAGCAAAAATTAATATAAGACCCTGTCTTATTTTCAGGAAAACACTATATATTTATTCTCTGATAGGATTTTATTATGCATAAGATTAATAAAGACAACAACAAAACAACAACTTTAAAAGATAATCTTTCAGTTTACAGCAGCAACAAATCCATGAAATGTGTTTGTAAATTGTGGCATAGTTAATTTATCCATATAAATCAGCTCTGAAGTAGAGTAGTATTGCATAAGGTATTTGGCTTTCAAGCTAGAGTCTTATTTAGTTGGTCTTGACTGGTGACAAAAATGATTAGGGATAATTTGCTGAAATATTTAGAGTGGTGTAGTGGATAGAGTGATGGACTAGGACTGAGACCTGGATTTGTATCTCTACTTAACCATGGGTTGCTATACACAAATTTCAGCTTGACAGCATATAACATAAAATTTATTGAAAGAAAATCTCCCAAATCTAAATGCACTAGGCATAAAAGCTATTGAGTGGTGCTATAAAGTAGCAAAACTTCAAAATAATTTTGATTTATTTTTCCTACTCTAAGTTTCCCATTATTGTAAACTCGCCTGAGTATTTTTATGGGAAGTTGGGACACACATACATAATAAATAAATAGTTTAGATAAATTGAGAGTTGTTATGGGAGGTTCTAAATACAGTATATTGCTTTAGTAATTGGAGTTGATTTTTCTGTAACTGTTATGAGATTGAGCTTTACATGTGCTACCCTTGTTAAAGACAGAAAATGTAGTTTCGGGTAACAGGTGTGTTCCCCACCATCTGAATAAGCCTGTGTTCTATTGTTATAGGCTAGGAGATAATTTTATCATGCATGAATTACAAGACCTCAGAGGAAGAGACAGTGTTGTGCAGCTTGTCCTGCTTTGCAGGGTTGCATGTACAGACACATGAGATTGTGACAGGAAATGTAAACTTAAAAAAAATTCAAGTCCTGGAAAACCAATAGGAGAACCTAAAGGTTTTATATTTCTGTAATAGCTCTTCTTCCATGTACCTATAAAACAATTTTTGTATCACCTGACTTACTCTTATCCAACATAAAACATCTGTTTGTTTTTACAGTGCCCATGGGGAACTCCTAACAGTGCTACGATATCATGTTCTCTTGCTGATGTCATGAGTGAGCAACTAGCAAAGGAACTGCAACTAGAAGAAGAAAGTTCTGTTTTTCCAGAAGTTGTATCGTGAGTTGAATGTCCTTACATTTAAATACTGTAATTGTTTGCAGACTTTGTATGCTGTCATTTCCTGTAGCTGCAGTTCTATAGACAAGAAGTGGGCAAAGTCCAGGATCACTTTTCCTTCCATGCTGTAGTTATCTCACGCACCTCAGCCAACAGCCAGAAGTCCACTTTCAGTTTTATGAACTTCTTATGGTAGGAACAAGTTGGAGGGCACAGAGATCATAATAATATCACAGTTCGTGGTTGGTTTCTGTTTTTGGTGTTTCTTGTTTGGCTCTAACAACTGTGGTCTCCTTCTCTCTCTGTCTCTCCCCTGCCTGCCAGAATGAGAGTAAAATTAGCATCTTGTCAGTCCTTTCACTTTGCAAAATGTGCCTGACAAGGAAAGGGGCTTTAGCGAACAGGGTGGGATCATGAGTCTACTCTTATTGTTGTCTAGAAATCTTTTAGTATAGGAGTGAATAATCTGATGCTCTGTAAATGTTTTGGACTACAGTTTACATAAGCCCTGATTATTGGCAATGCTGGCTGGGACTTGCAGGAGCTGAACATCCTGGAAAAAAAACAGCTTCCTGTTTTTGTTGGCCATTCAATGGAAGTGAGAAAATCTGCGTCCTCACCTTGACTGTGTAACAGCAAAATGAAGAAAGTGGCAGTCCTCACTGTTAAAGTGAGGAAGGTCCCCTTTACTTTATCTTGTCACTTGTCATACACAGTGTGAGAGTAGTTTAAATATTTTCTTTGCTCTCTCCAGCCAAGTGAGTGATATTGTGGAAACAATCTGAAGGAGGCAGCAACATGCAGAGTAATGTGAATATCTCTCAGTGTGTGTGTGTGTGTATTTTGTGATCTGCCTTGAATCCCTATGGGGAGTAAGGTGACATACAAATCTTACATAAAATTTATATGTCGTCTTACTCCCCGTAGGGATTCAAGGCAACTAACAACATATATAAAAACTATGTAACAACGTTTTTAAATACTTTATAAATACCATATTAAAATTATTAAACATATCAAGACTAAAAACAAGATTAAAAACAATTTTCAGACATTTAAAAATGTATAAAAATTGCTAAGTTTAATAAACAGAGCATCCCTGAGACAATTAGTGCTTAAAAAGCCAGACTCAAAAGGAAGATCCTTGTCTGATAACAGAAGAATTAAAAGAGATTGGGCTAACCTGGCTTCCTGGGATAGTGCATTGTAAAGTCCTGGAGTGACCACTGAGAAGGCTGTCTCTTGTGTCCTCACCAAACAAGCCTGGGAAGGTGGTGAAAGTGAGAGAAGAGTATCCACAGAAGATTTTAAAATCCAAGAAGGCTTATATGGGGATGATATGATCCTTCCAATAGCCTGGAGCCAAGTCATACAGGATTTTATAGGTAATAACAGCACTTTGAATTGGACCTGAAAACAGACTGGCAACCAATGAAGATCTTGTGACAAGGGAGTTATATGCTCCCTTTAACCAGTGCCAGTCAGCAGTCTTAACTGCAGCATTTTGAACCAGCTGAAATTTCCAAACATTCTTGAAAGACTGCCTTCCGTACAGTACATTACAGTAATCCAAATAAGATATAACTGGGGCATGTGTGACAGTGGCCATAACAGACATCTTAAGGAATGGGCATAGCTGACATACCAGCTTTAATATGTGTAAATGCACTGCTGGCCACCACTGAAACATGTACATCCAATCTCAGGGTAGAGTCCAGGAGCACACACAAGCTGTGAGCCCAACTTTTAAGGGGGAGTGTAACCTCATCTAGTACAGGCTGAATCTGTATCCCTTGACCCCTAATCTACCCAACTACATACACTCCCCAAACAACTTGCTCTGTGGAAATGCATATTCTTGGTAGTAATCCCAGTTCCACTAAATTTTTCATCTATCAAAGAAAATCCTTTTCTTTTGTAATACTTATCCTCTTGCATTTTAAATATTTGCATTCTGGCTGAAACCCTGTTTTGCACTTACACAAGCAGTGTAACTTTTTGAACTGAACAGGCTATATCAGGGATCATCAGCCCCTGGTCCACGGCCCAGTGCCAGTCCGTGGGCTTTCTGGAACTGGGCTGTGGATATGGATTTCCACCCCCCCATGCACGTGTGCGGGGAGCTTGTCATGCCCGTGCAGGGGACGTGCCATTTCCACACCGGGGGGGGGAGCATGACACATCCCTTGCAGGCACGACACGCCCACCGCACGAATGTGGGGATGCCCCCGCTTCCCTGCGCATGGAGCTTGCTCCTCCCAACTGGTCCGCGGCCCTAAAAAGGTTGGGGACCGCTGGGGTATATAATAAAAAAGGGAACAATGTTGAGACGAAAGCAAAGTACCATTTATTTTGTTATCTGAGTGAAAACCTCTGATGCAGTGACTGAAATTCTGCTACATGGTTACACAAATAGTATAACTTTTGGAAAGGAATTGGCGTAAGTTAAGAAGTCTCCAAATACAGTAGTGCCTTGCTTAGCGATGTTAATCGGTGCAGCAAAAATCGCCGCTAACCGAAAACATCGCTAAGCGATTTTTAAAAGCCTATAGGAATGCATTGAAACCCCTTCAGTGCATTCCTATGGGCAAAAAACTTACCTTTAAGCAAAAATCCTCCATATGGCGGCCATTTTCGCTGCCCGGTATGCAAGGAATCCGTCCCAAAACACAGCGGGTGGCCATGTTTTTTACCCGGCATCCATTTTGGAACCACCGATCAGCTGTTGGGAAAACATCGCTATGAGAAAATCGGTAAGCGAAAAAGCTTACCGATCATCGCAAAGCGATATTTTTCCATCTAAATAATCTCAATGAGATCGCTTTTGCGTTTGCAAAAACCAAATCGCTATGCGATTTCGTCATTAACCGGAGCGCTCGTTAAGCGAGGCATCACTGTACAGTGGTGCCTCGCTTGACAAAGATAATTCGTTCCTGCAAAATCGTTGTGGAACAAAATCATCGTCAAGCGAAAGTAAAAAACCCACTGAAATGCATTGAAAACCGGTTCAATGCGTTCCAATGGGCGAAATACCTCAGCGTCCAGCGAAGATCCTCCATAGGGCGGCCATTTTCCGGTGCCTGTAAAGCAAAATAGCTTTCTTAAACACAGTGGGGAGCCATTTTGAAACCCGATGATCAGCTGTTTTGATCGTCGTAAAGTGAAAAATCGGTTCCCAAAGCAGGGAACCAACCATCGTCAAGCGATTTTTTCCTATTAAAACATTGTTTTGCGATCGCTATAGCAATCGCAAAATGCTCATTGTTAAGCGATTTCCTCGTCTAACGAGGTAATCGTCAAGCTGTACATTATCTGGTGTATACTGAGACATGTGACTCAATATGCAATAGATTTCTTAACATATAGCAATTCTGAAAGAAACTATCCTACACTTTGATTTTGTCTCAGAATATTTTTGCCCTCACATAATTATTTTCATTTGAATCTCACAGCTGAATTGGAGCTTCAGTGTTACACTGATGTCATTTTATTATTTTTATTGTTATATATAGAGTTGTTGAAGGACCATTCATCTCAGGGGAGAACACTGATACTTCAAGTGACTTGATGTTGGCACAAATGCTGCAGATGGAGTTTGATAGAGAGTATGATGCACAACTTCGCCGTGAAGAGAAAAAGTTCAATGGGGACAGCAAAGGTTACTATCATTGGTCTTTCTTGCTTTGCTAAAATAAATTGATTTGCCTTTCTGTCACAGAGGAAAAACATCTTATAAATTGCACACCTCTTCTTCTTTATTTCTCAAATTTGCCTTTCTATCACAGAGGAAAAACATCTTATAATTTGCACACCTCTTCTTCTTTATTTCTCAAGTGTCCATATCTTTTGAGAATTACCGAAAAGTGCATCCATTTGAAGACACGGACAGCTCTGAAGATGAGGTTGATTGGCAGGATACTCGTCATGATCCATACAGAGCAGGTAAATAATTAAATGTAATCAGGTCGATTCCAACTTATGGCAATACTTTCCAAGGTTTTCCAAATATAAAATTGAGAAGTGACTTACCATTCCCTTCTTCTAGGGGCACTCTGGGAATGTGTAGCTTGGCCAAGACTATAAAGACTGTTTTATTCCTGAGAAGCACAGTGGACAATTATACTCCTGACCTCTGGCTTTCCAGCCAGATATCCAGTTCACTTAGCTGTCCAGCGAGAAATAGAGCAAATAGCCGCTATAATAAAAACTTATCTACCGTGTTTCCCCGAAAATAAGACAGGGTCTTATGTTAATTTTTGCTTTAAAAATTGCATTATTTCTTTATTTCTTTATTTATTCATTCATTCATTCATTCATTCATTCTATTTGTACCTTGCCTATCTGGTCAAAACGACCATTAGGGCTTATTTTCAGGGGATGTTTTATTGTACAGTCATGTCATCATCTTCTGGTTGCTGCACAATGTTGCACAATAGTGCAGAGCGGGGTTTAACTTAACTAGGGCTTATTTTGGGGGTAGGGCTTATATTACAAGCATCCTGAAAAATCATAGTAGGGCTTATTTTCAGGTTAGGTCTTATTTTGGGGGATAAGGGTATATCACTACAAATAAACTTTCTGGCTGACATGATCATGAAATATGGTTTTATAAGATGAGTGCCATTTGTATATTATTTGTGTGAATCATTTATTATGCCATTATATTTTAAATATGATCTTGACACTTCAGTATTGACCTAAGCAACAGGCAAGTTCCTGGCCCTTAGCACCTGCTGTCTAGAAGTTGACTGGAGGTCACGGAAGAGAAGAATGGATAAAGGGATGGAATTGTGGGCTTTACTTGGCTATGATGATTACAGGGCAAAGTCACTATCTTTGGGAAAGAGGCATGTTTAAGCCATGGTTTGAAATTGTGCAGGATGAGACATTTATGAAATATGACAGTATCTGGCAACACAAGCTAATCGAAGTATGTTTCTTCACCAAAAGACCCATTCCCCTATGAGTTATGAAGCTGTATGAGACTTTGTGCAAGGTTAACAAAGAGCCTTGACAGCTCTCTATTTGTTAAATGCTACTACAGTCTTTGACACAAAATGCTTTCTTGATGTAAATAAAAGTTAGCATTGTTAATAGTTGTGAGGATATATTCTGAATTGATATTCTTGTTATTCATAGATAAGCCAACAACAACACCAAAAAAAGGCTTTGTTGGAAAAGGAAAAGATATAACTACCAAACACGATGAGATTGTGTGTGGACGAAAGAACACTGCACGGATGGAAAATGTAAGTTCTGTGTTAAATTTCTCACAGATACCGCAGGTCTCTTCTCTGAAGGGAGTGCTTAAACTGTTGTTGGTCTGTATTATAGTATGTGTTGGTCTCTATTATAATATAATAGAAACATTTTAATTTGATTTCTGTTCTTGTTTTAAAATCTGAGTTGGATACAGATCCTGATGTCATCACATTGAGAACAAACTTGTTGAAATCAGCTAGATTAAGTTAATCATAATTAAAGGCGATTGACTTGAGTGTGTCTGCTCTAACTATGACAGAGTTCTGTGTATTGTTTTGCTTTTGAACAGTGGGACAGATGCAGAGCAGTAGGAAACATATATGCTATTGCCTAAAAGATTATGTGATCGTACCTTGTTGAAGACTTTGGTGTAGGAGTTTGCCACAGTTCCATAATATTGCCTTCCACTATGTTGTTGTCATCTGCAAGGGTATTAGTGTTGTTTAATAGATAAAGTGTTAAACTGGGGAGGTTGAAATTCAAATTCGTTCCTAGCCTTGAAGCTCCCTGAATAACCTTTCTTGTTAGTCTGAAATATTTTTAGGAAAGGCAGTATAGAAATATTATTAGGTTCATATCTGGTAACCCTGAAATTAATGAAATTTAAGTACTGTATTGAATTCCACGGGCCTAATCAATGTATGACTAAGACTGGTAAATAACATAAGTAAACATAACACTATTCAAGGTCTGAAATGTACAGCCACACACACCAATCTCTCAACTTCCCATTTTTATTTACAAAAATGTTTTTTTCCCTGCGTAAGTTCCCCTGTACTCTCTAGTGTCCCATTTTTAAAAATAACTGAAGAATTGGGAATGTGAAGCCTCCTCAGAACATGGCCTTCCACACTCCTTAGATGACTTTAGGGAGGGGTCCAATTGAGCCAAATTTTTGAAATGTTTGGGGGCCCTGTGGGCACATTTCACCTCTCTGGGAACTTCATGTAATTCCCAGGGCACGTCTTACTCAGCCTAGTATAGGGTGTCCTTTGTCTAAAGCTTCTTTAGACACACAGTATACTGGTGATAAAAACATCATGCTGTCCATTGTATCTCATCTGTGTTTGCAGTTTGCACCTGAATTCCAAGTTGGTGATGGAATTGGGATGGACCTAAAACTATCCAATCATGTTTTCAATGCCTTAAAGCAGCATGCATACTCTGAGGAACGTCGAAGTGCCAGACTCCATGAGAAAAAGGAACACTCTACTGCTGTATGTATTCATGATTAAACAAGTGAACATAGCATAGTTTTGTCAGAACATGGTATTTGGCATAAATTTAATACTGGGTTGATATCCCAACACTAATTGCAGAACTAGTTTTTGGAAATAGAGTGAGACTAGTCAAATATTGTTTGACAGGTCAAATAATAGTTTATCCTGAGTAGCTGCTGTGACAGATTCATTATTCAACCTTTTAAAATGCCAAACTTAAATGTTTTTATGATCTCCAGTTCGCTTGTTTTTTCTGACATAATGGTCATTCACTTCTTGTTGGCAATTAACATGTTGCTGCTGTGTTTCTAGGGAAGCATGCTGACTTGGTGCATGCTCAAGAATACTGTCTGGGTCTTATGAATCATACGCTGTTTGCCTTCTGCGTGTGTAAAAAAACAGGATTTCATCTATTATTTTCTAAGAACTTGTTAGTGCTGGCATATAGATAATTTTCTTCAGGTGATATATTGCCCATCTTTGCTGATATCCATCTTTATTCTAGATTTGCTATTTTTGGAATCGTGAAATATTTTTTGAGTGGCAAGAACTGAATTAGGTTGTTCCAATTGTTACGTTAATGATAGTCTGATATAATCCATTTTTCCCTAAAAGCTCATTTCAGCATGTAAGGCACTCAGTCAAACTAGTTTTATTTCATAGCACTTGAATATATTAATCATCATTATTATCTAAATTAAACAGATATAATTAAAAGTCTAAATATTCAGAAACATGTTGTTTTTATAGCAGCAATTTTAGTATAGCAGCAGTAATTTTTCTCACTTCTCTTGTGCAGGAGAAAGCAGTAGATCCAAAAACACGTTTACTTTTGTATAAGATGGTTAATTCTGGGATGCTAGAAACCATTACTGGCTGCATAAGTACAGGGAAAGAATCCGTGGTATTCCATGCCTATGGAGGAAGGTATTTTTTCATATGTAAATACTTATGATGAATTGTTTATATTGTTGGGAATGGGAAACAACTTCAGGCTAAAGTATTTTGAATTACAGAATAGTTGTGCAATCCATCTACCTCACCATCCTGTTGCATTTTTATAAATTAACACATAACCTTAAACTAAAGCCATTATTTTACATCTAGAGGTATGTATAGTTTTGTAAGCACTACTTGTAAATAAAATTTAAAAGTGTATTGTATCAAAGATGGAGCATAGTGATAGATTACATCACTGCAAATAAATGTTACTTAATATTATGGTTTATGCATTGTTAGATATCTGTCATACTAGTTGCAGTTTCTCTTAACTCAATTAAATGCCTGTATCTAAAATATGATTTCTTTGTTTTTCCTACAGTTTAGGTGAGGATGCCAAACCAGTACCTTCTGAATGTGCCATAAAGGTGTTTAAAACAACTCTTAATGAATTTAAGAATCGTGATAAGTATATTAAGGATGACTATAGATTTAAAGATCGCTTCAGCAAACTCAATCCACGAAAGATAATCCGCATGTGGGCTGAAAAAGAAATGCACAATTTAACAAGGTAAGAAAACGTAGGCATACACGTGTTGCAGTATTTTTAAAATTCAAAATCACTTGTTCAAGCTTGGAAAACTGTGTAAAAGCCAAGTTTAATGTTTGATTATTATGTGTTGAATTATGTTCCTTTGAAAATGAGAGATGTTGTATTAATATAATTATCCAAAGACTGTGTTTTCTTTACTATTTAAAGTAAATATTGCTTTTCTGTAAATATTTGTTTTGATTTTAAACATTTACACTTCATGACAATAAATAACCATTCAGATTGTTCAGGACAGTAGTGGGGCAATATGCAGCCTTGGAAAAGTAAATCACAACCCATTAATTAATATAATTCAATCTCATTTCTAGAAATATTATGTGCAGTTTTAAAGGGCCAACAGCTACAAAAGTGTTGTGATTTTGATCTCTTTGAAGCTAACAAATTTATTCAGTGGGAACTGTCATGGATTGCAATACTCACATGAAGAAGTGCATTATGAAAGCTCACACTGAAATAAATGTATTCGTTTCAGAGGTGCCACAAATACTTCAGTGTTCGTTTCTGGTTTATTTATTTATTTATTTGATCTATACCCCACCCATCTGACCTAAAAGGCCACTCTATTTATTTATTGTGCTGAAACAGACTGTCATGGTTCTCTTTGTTAAGACTGTTATAAAGTGCTACAGGGTTTATTTCCTGGATCTTACCAAAGCAGGGAACCTTTGCTCGAAGTTCTTCAATGTGCTAATGTTTTTTTCCTCTCCATAGAATGCAGAAGGCAGGGATTCCTTGTCCACAAGTGGTTAGCCTTAAAAAACATGTCTTGGTCATGTCCTTCATCGGTCAGGATCAAGTCCCAGCTCCTAAACTAAAAGAAGTAAAACTCGGTAATGAAGATATGAAACAGGCCTACAATCAAGTTCTTCATGTAAGAGCAGTGTTGTTATTTTGTCTCAAAACTGATGGGAAGAGTGCCTTTTGAGAATACAGTATTCCAGAATCCTAATTAGGCCAGTACCTCTGCTGATGTAGCTCAAAAATCATAAAAGCTTTCAAGATTATCAGATATCCTCATTAGGCAAGATGTTATAAAAACAAACTGGGGTGTCGGGGAATGAGACAGGAACATAGATTTTGTATAGAAGGCATATGTTTTAAGATCAACGGGGTGAAATTGACAAGGAAGGAATCTGCAGGCATGGCATTAGGTTCTAACATGTAATATGATAGATTCAGGACTGTAAGAAGAGAAACATTAAATCCCCCCTCCCCCAATTTTCCAACATTTAAATTCATCTGTTTCTTAGAATTGCACCATTCTCTGACAGTTTCAGTAAACATAGCTTCCTTAAGCTGGCCTTAAGCTAGTTTCATTAATCAGCATTACACTAATAGGATTTTGGATTTTTCTCATGGCCGACATGCTTACATTTACTTCATGTTGGTCAGAAGGGTTATATAATTGTTGAATAATAAATACAAGTGAATGATCTTCGCTTTGAAATATTTAGTCTTGGACCACTGCAAATTATGAAATGAACATTTTAAAAAATCACAAGCAGAACCTCTGTATTGAAGACACAGATGTATAAAAGTAGTTAAAGAAAAGAAAAGAATGAGGTTCAAGTAGCTGTTGAACATTTGTAATGCCAGTCCTATAGCATCAGTATTCTCCCCTTAAAATAATATTTCTTGTAGTACTCCATAATTAGCAGTCTGTAACATTATCAGCATTAATAGTTAAATGAACCCAGAGTAACTAGTGAATTGTTTATACATCTGTATCTGTCAGTCATACATAGTTGCATTAGTTGACAATTCAGATTAACTATAGCATACTTATAATAGTATAATTCAGTATTTTATTTGTATAAAATAAACATTTCATGCTGCTAATTGAGCATTTTCTGTTTAGCAAAAATATTTAGTTTTTTATAATTTGTATGGAAAGTACTCCTAATAACTTCTTGCTTCTTTCTAGATGATGCAGCAATTATATAAAGAATGTGGTTTGGTGCATGCTGACCTGAGTGAGTACAACATGCTGTGGCATAAGGGACAGGTAAGCAGATAATGAAGAAAAAAAATCTTATCTATTGCATGGTCTAATATGCATCCATTCAAAAACTGTGAACTTATATTTATTCCAGGTCTGGTTAATTGATGTTAGTCAGTCTGTAGAGCCAACTCATCCTCATGGACTTGAATTCTTGTTTAGAGACTGTAGGAATGTTTCACAGGTAAGAAGTCCAACGGTCTTCAGGCTTTTTATCTGGATCTTTAATAGTGCCTCATTTAGTACTGTACAGTGATTTGAATAATACAGTTTTTCCAAAGTACTGAATGATCACTTGCTGTAGAGAATTTAGGTTTATATCTTAATAGGTTGAGTTTTAGTTTACTAGAGAAAGAAGAGAATTGCAATGGCTGGGATCCTACACTGCATGAGAATTGGATGTACCATTCCCACAATGGAATATTCCCTTGCCCTGTTACGCCTACTCATGTCCCCTAAGTCTGCTCTGGAATGGGGGGGAGGGGAGATCTTGTCCTCTGACAGAAGTGGTTTGTTTGGAGACTGACACAATTTGATACCAGCCCATGACACTTTCTTGTTTGCTATAAGTGACGTGTGCAAGACTGTAGAATGAGGAACCTATCTTGAATAAAGGCTGTGATTTTGATCTACAAGTTAGATTAGAAAGTGTGTGGAAGTCTTGTTACCTCAAGTTACCTAGTTGTCTCAGAGTAGTAGTACCTGTAGTTCAGAACAAAAGAAAATACATTGGGTGGGGGAAGGACCCATCAGACATTGGCAGTGTCAGTCTCTTGGTATCAGTATTTTCCCCTTTGAATAATATTTTCAAACATCATTAGTAAAGCATCCCTGGAAATGATATGCTACAGGTACTTGTTTAGTTGGAAAAAAATAAATATTTTTTTTCTTTCAACAAAAGTTCTTCCAGAAGGGCGGTGTATCTGAAGCACTCAATGAACGAGAGCTGTTCAATGCTGTCTCAGGCTTAAATTTTGCAGCTGACAATGAGGTGGACTTCATAGCAGAGGTAAGCTTTTGGTTGGAAGGGTGACGCTGGAGATCATCTACCTTTGGCCTTATTCTAAATTTGGCTACTTTCCAGTGAAGCTCTCTGCATGTACAGGGGGATCCATAATATGTACCCAAAGTTTTCCTTCAGATTTTTGGTACTGTTTTTGGTACTCTTTTAGAAGCATCCGCTCTCTAGGAACATACATGTAACCACTACAGATAATTGAAGCTTCTCCCGGTAATTTTGCCTTTTGTTAAAGTCTTGGTTACAGTAAGAGAAAAAATGTTTACCTGTTCATTTCCAGTTAGTGGCAAACTTAGGATCTTCAGAAAAAAGGTTTCTGTGAATGCTTTTTGACTAATTTACAAAGAGGTTTTTTTTTTCAGTCTGTCCCAACTACAGTATTTTCAGAACCCCAACATACTTAAAGGGGAAGGGGGGAGAACAGTAGGAATTATCTGATGGTGCTGACAAGTAAGTGGGCAACCAGATTTATAATATAGGTTAGTTCTTGTTGCTGGATATGGTTGCTTGCCACTGCAATGTTTTAAAGAGTACAGTGGTGCCTCGCATTGTGACGTTAATTCGTTCCGCAAAAATCGCTGCAGAACGAAAAGGTTGCAATGCAAAATAAAAAAGCCCATAGAAACGCATTAAAACCTGATTAATGTGTTCCTATGGGCTTAAAACTCACCGTTCAGCGAAGATCCTCTATAGCACGGCCATTTTCGGTGCCTCTTAGGTGAGGAATCCGTCTCAGAAAACAGCGGGTGGCCATGTATTTTTCCCAGTGGCCATTTTGAAACCGCCGATCAGCAAAGCGAAATTCCCCCATAGGGAACATCGCAAAGCGATCGCTTTTGTGATCGCAAAAATGCGTCGCAAAGCGATTTCATCACTAAACGGAGCAATTGCTATGCGAGGCACCACTGTACCAGTGAGATATTGGAGGTGAGCAAGTTGTATAATTGCAATAGGGGATTTGGTAGTGTCAGTTTTAGAAGCCTCAAATTCAAACTGATACACCACTTCTGATTAGCATTTCACTGAATGTGTATCTGAAGCACTCAAAAGATCATTTACTCAGGCTAGGTCGTGTTAGTTGTGTAAGAAAATAACCTGATGATAAACTCTGGAAATTGCAGATAATGCCCAAGAAACAGAAAAGAAACCAAGCTGACAAATGTGTTATACAAACTCTGTGCATTATATATATGGGTTTCATTTCTTTTTCTTCTTCTTTTGAATAATGAAACCAAGTAAGTTCCATAGCAAGTGAAATATGAAATAAAGTTCTTGACATATGTGCCTTCATATTTTATAGATTGAAGCTTTGGAGAAGATAAATGAAGATCATGTACAGAAACATGCGAAAAAAGTATCTTCATTCCCAAATGATGATGGGAGTCCACCAACACTTTGCAACAAATAGCATTTGAGCTGAACTGAAGTGTGTTTTTCCTTCCTGCATCTCAGTTCTGAGGCAGTAATTGAATGTTAGCTGCCAATGGCAACAGAATTTGTGGTCAACTCAGAAAGCTGTAAATGAAACTTCAGGGCATATGTATTGGTGCTTTTGTGTGTGTGTGTTTTTTTTTTAAAAAAGGAAAGCCCATGAGTTAGTCCACTGAGACAAAGCACATAGCTCTGTGTAAAATTTACTTTCCATTGGCAATCTGACAACTTATTTCCGTCAGTTTCATTGCAGGAGAGTTAAATATGTGCTATTTAAACATTTACATTTTCTAAAATAACATCACAATTTCAGATTAAAGTCTTAGATGGAAGTGCTTAAGACTGATGAATGCTCTTTTCCCTGTATAGTATTATACCTAACAGGAAGAGAGAAAATAATTTTCTGTCCTTAATATCTGCACATATGCTTAAGGAAAGGGTGAATGGTTCTAATACATGAAATATGTGAGTTGCTATCAAATGTTACTATTTTTTTCAAAAACTCAGTATGACATTCTTAATACTTGGTAAGTGAAATTTGTATTGATCACTAAAATAGCCACAAAATTTACATATTATGATTTTTTACAGAAAGTTAAAAATAACTAGTCTGTAAATTGAATCTTAAACATTAAGGCCATAATATAGGTTTTCAAAAAGTAATTATTATTAGATACCAATAAATATTTGGTATTTTCTTTCTTAGTGATTAAGTGGAAGATAGCTCAGATCCTTAGAAATAGATACCTTTAAACAAGAATATTACGTTTCAATCACATAAAATGAATGAGAGAACACATAGCAGAAGGAGCTCTCTTAATTTTATACTAGCTAGATATTCCATATTTGTAGAAAAGTTTTTAGAGGGGATTTAGAAAACAACTCTTGTATTTAAGAGTATGCATGTAACATAACTTCCTGACAGTGAAGTTAATTCATATTACTCAAAGCAAAAATCAGCACAAGCAAGGGCTTGTTCTTGGGACATGTGTATAATAAAAGACTAGTTACATTCTAGTAACGAATGTGCCTGTACATCTTATTTGGAGTAATACAGTGTTCCTCACAAGCTGCATTGTTTTTTTAATAGCTGATTTAATTCTTCGGATGTACTTGTGACTATATTATCTGTTTTGTTTAGATCAGTATAAAGTTAATTTACTGATACAGGTTTTGAAGATGAATGGACTTGGCGGGTGAAACTTGGGTCACCTTTTCCTTGGCTTTCTTTTAAATTTCTCCATGATGTTGTAGTGAGACACTTGCTATGTGATGTTCTCATAGTGGCCTGTTTTGCACTCCATGCAAATATGGGATGGGAAATAAACATGTCAGATCATTTGGCTTGTATTTGTAGATTTATTTGGTCAAATATTGGTACAGAATCTATAGCATCAGTGCCATGTTTTACTGCTAACAGATATAAACGCTGAAGCATGCAGTCCTGCTGCATGCAGTTACAGAAAAATAGAGTTACAGCAGTGAGATTGAATAGGTTGCCAATAAAGGAGATACAGTGCAATACTGAAATGTCAGAAAAGCTTGTGACACCTTCACACGTTACTTTCATAAATTAGAGTGCACTTCATCAGATGCATGACCTGAATTCTTAACTACCTGAGTACAGGTATGTCTGAGTACAGGTAAGGGAAATTTGTAAACAGTGAGTTCAAATGATCATGAAGTGAAAGAGATCTTTGCTAATTCAGGTATATAGAAGAAGCACAGCATTTCATGATGACATAAATCTAGCACTGTTGTGCCAATTGACACCTCTTCTTGGACAGGAACCTATTATCTTGATTTATGCCAAACTGGGTCAGATGAAATGCAATGAATTGTAATTTAATTGGAAGTTATTTTAGAGAGTTTGGAAACAGGAAAGCAGCTGATCAAATGTTACAACACTCAGGCCATTTTAGTTTGGGGAAACTATAACAGGCTTGTGAAATTCTGCATAGTGTAGAGAAACTGAATAGTTTAGGGGGGCAGTTCTAACACTAACAGAACAAAACAAAGCATTTCAGACTATATACATGTCCCTACAACCAAGTGAAGTACAGGTAATAGACAAAGTGATTATTGTTCACTAACAGGAATGGGATTACCAAACTTTTACAGTAGTTTGATTAGCAGGTCCTGGCCAGGTGGCCTTGACTGTCACATGAATTCTAAAATGGCCATTCATAGGTTTATCCTTCATGTATGTATGCATATCCCTATACAGATATTTTGGAGGGCATCTCTTCAGCACAAGCCCTTTCCCATTCAGTTCCATTATGTACTGTACTGTAATAGGTTTCCCGGAGAGGCACCTGGCCAGGCGAGAGTGGCTGCTGGACGAGAGGAACCGGGGATCTGTCTGAACGACTTCCTGCATCCCCAGTCGCGTTCACCCTCTTATTCCAGGTCCGATGTAGAGATGGGAAGGAGCGAAGGGGTCCCTTCATGCCTAGTTCTGCCTCGCACCTGCTTTCCCCTCATGAAACTCTTTAACCACCGGCCGCCTCGGGTTTAACGTTCAAGCAAGACCTGAACGTCCTGCGCCTTTAAGGGCTTAGGAGCGCCTTGGTCATGCGCAAAGGGAGCATAACCAGGAAGCGGTTGGGCGGCTCTGAGGGAGAGAAAGGCGCACGGGCTCCCGAGCCGGCTTTGGGGGGGCGCGCGTGGGTGTGCAGCGGGGCCCCCCGAAGAGGCCTAAAGACTCCGAGGGG